GGAGAGCACAAATTTGGGAATAGATTGCTATAGTATATGAGACATCATACTGCCTACCCTGTTCCTATAGCTTTGAGATTTCTTTCTGGAGACAGAAAAAAATATTGGTTTTCTTGCATCCAGGTCCGCTTCCCATCTCACTTCAGCTCAGATCTGAAGGACCTGTTGCGTAACCTGCTACAGGTAGACCTCACCAAACGCTTTGGCAACCTCAAAAATGGAGTCAACGACATCAAGAATCACAAGTGGTTTGCAACCACTGATTGGATTGCCATCTACCAACGGAAGGTAAATAACTGCAGCCAACAGGCTTATTTAAAATAAAGAGCAAATAAAAAGTATTATCAGATATTAATGTCAATTGCCTACTAGGCTTAAGGCTGCCATTTGCACATACACAAAAGGGGTTGCATCGAGCAGTTTCTTAAGGCACCGAGTTAGCAACGGCACAATAGTACTTCCATAGTACTTCACAAAAAGTAAAGCTTGTTCTAGACCAGCGAACCTTAATTACAAACTTTAAATTTTTACTTATTTACAGTTATGGCTTTCTGAGTTGTCTAAATTGTGATGTCAAATGGGTTGTTTGTGGTTTCTTGGCTGGCTTGTATGCTTTGATAAAGCCTCTGATCAGTCCTCAGAGACACAAGGCACAAGAGCAAGAGGGAAAGCAAGCCAGGAATGGGCTAAACAATTAATGACTGTTCATCTTCATATCTGAGTTTAGTTTCCTCCACAAATTGTCACTTAGGACTTAGAAGGCAGTCTTTTGGCAGCAGGGCCTATACAATTTTGACTACTTGTCAGTCACTAAAGTGCCAAAAGAGGGAAGTCAGTGGCACGGTGCCAATGCTGAGAGAGTAGAGACCAAACTTCTGGCTCTTTTTATCTTCAAGGTTTAGGACTTTAGAGACTTAATGCTGAGATTTAAGTAGCTGATATTTTAAAATGAAAAACGAACACATTTGTGGGATTTGGAGTAGAGTTCATAATACAGCTTGTATTGTAATACTCATAATATAATTTGCATTACCGCTATGGATGTGGTAATACAACAAAATCATTATCGTTTTGTTTAGAAAATGTGGATGTGAATCAGCTTTTCATGAATTTGCATTTGCAGTAAATTACATTAATTGTGCATGATTTGGAATAGGTCAGTTAATTGTGCAAAGTTGTTAATTCTATATCATGTTATATCAAGTAGCTACTATGTCCGTCATTTGATAGAAAATTTTAAGCATGCTGCTAAATTACTTATTGTCATATGATGGTGAACCTATGACACACATGTCAAAGGTGATAGGCCGCAATGTTTTGTGTGACAACCAGAATTCACTGATAACTACAGTATTCTTGGAAGCATACCCTGTTCTTCTGTGTTTTCAGTGGCTACAAATGTTATGAGAGGACTATGCTCTTGTGTGGCCTCCAGAGCCTCCAAAACTCATGTAAAATGGGACATGCTTTTGTGTGATTTCTGGAGCCTGTGGAAGCTGTATGAGAATGAATTGTGCTTTGGTGTGGCCTCCGGGTCTTTTGGAAGTCACATGAGAAGACTCTTGTCTTGTGTTGCTTCTGGAGCCTCCAAAAATCACATGAGGACAAGGCATGCTTTCATATGGTTTTTGGAGACCACAGAAATGCAGAAGACCATTCTCTGAAGTCACTTCAGAGTGAAGGCTTCGTGAACCCAGAACAGCCTCAATTAGGCCCCAAAGCCTGTCAAAAGAACAGCGCCTAATAAGATGTGGCAAATCCTGGGAAGCACTGGGCTGCAGGGACAATTGTGCTATTCCCAAAGATTTGCCTTCATTGGAGAATGTCATGAGGTGGCCTTTTTGAGTGGCAGCAGTGGCACTAGGTCTGAAGTCGAAGCCCAGGCCTCTATTTAGAACCCGCCTCAGTACTGTTGCCAAGTGCCACAGTTCAGGATGACCTAAATGGGAGCCAGTTTGGTCTAGTGGCTAAGGCACCAAGCTAGAAGCTGGAGACCATGACTTTTAGTCCCACCTTAGTCACGAAAGCTAGCTGGGCCAGTCACATACTCTTTAGCCTAACACACCTCACAAGGTTGTGGTTATGGGGAAAATAGGAGGAAAGTGTGTTGGATATGTTCACTGCCTTGAGTTATTTGTAAAAATCACAAAAACAGGATACAAAAAAATAAAGAAATGGAGAATTGTTTCCTTTTTCTTTGGGGGAAGACATGATATGCTAGCAAAGTCAAGTTAGGCCATATTCCAAATTTTTGACATCCCAACCCCAAAAGATTTCCCATCACTGCTCTGAGTTGTATGGTTATTTATGTGAAGTGAATTATTTGAAGGAGATGAGGATAATGGAAGCAGGGACAAAGTTCCCCCTCTTGAAAATTGTTTGCCAAACAATTATCACTGGTTATTCTAGTGATATAAAATGGGGCTGGAAGGTTCTGAATGTGGTATAAGACACAACAAGATCATGAAAAAAGATGAACTATTTTAGATACAAATAAATTGATTATTGTATTTGCTCCTCCACTTCTGACCCTCCTCAGATTTGCTGGGTTGATTTATAAACAATGACTTGGTTTATACATTGTGTTAGACCAGAGTTTGTATTAATCAGAGCTTTCTAAGTAAGATATAGTAGCCTATTTTGGTTTATTGTTTTTTTTACATTAAATTAACCCAAATCTACAGTTTACCAAGCACAATATCTTAATCGGCATATTGTGGCTACTTAAAATAAAGCATATACACCAGGTAATTCTGGATAATTTTTAATTTAACTTTTCTTAAATTAGAAACAAGAAATGGGAGACTCAGCTGATAAATTTGTATTTTGGGAAGGAATGGCTAAGTAGCAGACATGGAAGGAGTTAGGTAGAGCTCCAATTGAGCTGAAGCAGAGTAACGATGCATTTGTTTGTGGAGAATTCTTACCTCTTACCTGGTTAAAAAAAAACCTTAAAGCATGTCCCTTACATCAATGAGTGTGTGTGCAGGAACTATGTTAAGCGAATTTATCCAGTCCTGTGTTAATATTAGAAGTGAGCTAGCCTAAGCGGAAATAGCTTTAAGCACCTGTGTGTTTTATTCTCTTCTATAGAGAAGCAGGGCCTTTTTAACCCCACTTTATAAACAGGTAAGCATTTTTGTTGGATCTATACATTTAGTTTAGTATTCATTGGATTCATCTGAGTATAAAAGTTGTTAAAACATGTTGTTGAGGATCTGCCACTCACCATGCCAACAGAATTGACCTGATGGTGCGCTTTCTCTCCTCCCTCTCTCCCTCTAGTCAACATCACTATGTCTTTATGTTCCTGTTTAAAGAGGGAGAAATTACTTAGATTAATAACCAAGCTGGTAGCCTTATTTCATGCCTCATGTTATAATTGATCAGCTGATTATAAATGCATGATGACATGTCTTCATATTATAATAATACTTAACTGTGCTATCTCCTCCACAGGTGGAAGCTCCTTTTATACCAAAGTGCAAAGGACCTGGCGACACAAGTAACTTTGATGACTATGAGGAAGAGGAGATCCGGGTGTCTATCACTGAAAAATGCGTCAAAGAGTTTGCAGAATTTTAGGGCCAGCCCCCTTTGCTTTGTGTGCCCAGGAAAAGAAAGGGCTGGATTTGATCAGCCTCAAGGGCCAGAGTTCCTTGCCTATTTGTTAATTTTGGGAGGTGGGAGAGTGTTGGGGTTCACCTGGATCTGTTTGGGCAGAAGAAAGAAAAGGGGAAATCATTTGAAGCTGTGGAAAAGACAGTAGTCTGAATGTCATCCATCCACCATCCACTGCAAGCTATAAGGTGGCTCCCAGCCATTCTCAGGCAGTTTTTAAAACAAATTCCCTTCCTGCTCACATTGACTCCAATCGATAACACAAACCCTAATTGGACAGTCCCTGATTTTTTTGGTGGCTTTTTATTTTTAAGGGAAAGGGAATACTTTGTAATTCATCACCATCTCTAATGATTTGGTTCATGGGGCATTGCAAAAAAGAAAAAAAAAAGAAGGGAATTGGGGGGAAGGCAGAAAGTAAACACATCCACAACAGCACTTTGGTGTTTAGACCAGCATTAAATGGGTTCCAACCCAATTGTCTCGCCTCCCACTGTGAGACAACCCTATCCTTTTATCAATTGCCCTTTCCTCCCCTATCCCTTTCCAAGGCTCATTTTATTAACTTTAAAGAAAAAGTTTAAAGACATAGTTGACTGGCTTAAAAAAGGTTTTAACAGTCTAGGTGGGGGCAATGCTTTTATATGCTGTTTCCAGCACAGTTAAATGAAATTCAGCAGGAATTTTAATTCTGTAAAAACAGCTGGATTTTAGCATGAAGAATATGTGGTTTCTTTTCTTTTCTTTCTTTCTACACTTGATTTCATATCTTTGTCCCTAGTTTTGGGAAAGAAAGAGGCAATAATATTCACACTTGCAGAAGGGGGACAATGACTGGCTGCAGCTGGAGCAGGAATACTATGGGAAGAAACACCGTTTGAATGTGTATTTCCAAAACCCATTCTTTTTGCTTCTCAGCTACCCTCACCCCCTCCAAAATGTATCTCAAGATCAGTTCTTCTGCATAAGGTAACTGCTGGAGTATTTGAATGAATGAGAAGGAAGCAGGATTTGTGAAAGATGAGAATCTAGCTATTTGTCACTGTCTGAAGAGGTTTGTCCCCTTTAGTAGCAATTAAAATGGGGATAAAAAACACACATAGTTGGCAAGACACATTGGCCGGATATGATTCTTCCTATTCCAGCCCAAACCTCAATGTTGGTGATGCATGGATCTCTGGGTGTGGACGCTCCATTACTTCAGTCCTTAAGATCTCTAGACACCTGCTCTGGTTTTATGCTAAGATAACAAGGGAAGGATGGCAAACCTAACCCTGATAATAAAGATGGTGAGATTTACAAACAAAAATAGACAAAACCCATTCACTTGTGCCATGCAGACAAGGGAGTGACCAGTTTTGGTCTGTTGTTGAGATTGGAAATACGAAGTGGCATCTGTTTAGAGTCTTTTCTCTGAAAAGACGGAAGCAGTTGGAGTTGGACTCAAACGATGTGGAGGGAAGGCAGCTTGTTGTTTTGTCCTGAATTTTTCTGATACCCCCCCCCCCCCTTCATCTTTCCAACGCAATGCCTCCTTGTGTTCTGTCTTCACCTACCTGACTCCAGATACACTCTTTCTAATTTCACAGTTTAAGTTTCTTCCGTTCTTCCATGGCTGGAGAGCAGAGCAAGCACCTTTGGATTGATAGATGTAATCTGCACAGAAGTGCTATTAGGATCAGACAAGCTTTATTTACCTCCACTCCAACTTTTCATCATCCCTTCCCACCAAGAAGCTCCTATAATCCCATTTTTGTGAAGTTGGGGAGAGGTAGGCTTAAAGCCATCTGCTCCCAGTTTTGGAAGAAACAAAAACCACTTCTGTGTAATCCAACAAAACTTGTTTCACTGAGAAAAAACAAACAAACCCTACTTCCTCTTTAACAGTGTGCTTTGTTGTAAACATATTTGAAACTATTACCAATAAAGTTTTGTTTAAAAAAATAAAGTTTAATTCCTAAAATTTAGTATTAGATGGGAAACAGCAGTAAGGAGTTTGAGTAATGATGGCCAGTGCTAAAAGCTAATATAAAATAAAAAGGTATGGAACTTTTAGGAATTGACATGATACAGTTTTTGTTAACTATTGATACAGCCTACCCTTTGTATAAAGCTTTAAAACTGATTGACATAACTGAAGATATGAGAATTGAACGCTCTGTTTTAATTTGTCACTCAATGAAAAGTATTAGCTTTTTGAACAACGAATGCATTTGTTTTATAATCAAATATACGTTATATTTTGAAGCTTTAAAATTATATCTGGAGAGTATTGATAATGGAAGGGACAATTTTTCAAATGGCTGTGAAATCAACACGTCAATTATCTAAAATTTATGTGAGCAACCCAGAATTGTCAAATTCTTGAGTTTCTATATTAGACTTTCATACACACTGTCATGTTAATGTGCATGGAAAGCTCTTCCACTGTTTGTATTTTTTAAAAAAATTATACAGAGCAAATAAAGGCATGTATCTAGTTACATAATGTTCTATGATAGCTTTCCCCAACTCAATACCCTCTAAATATGTTGGGCTACTATTCCTATAATATCCTGAGAGTGGCGGTCTAAGGCATCTGGCAGGCATCATCTTAAGAAGATGCTGTTGTGCAATGTATTCAAATACTAAACAAGACCATTCAAACTCTTGAGACTAGACAGACAAAATGGAAATCACTTTCAAAAGCAATTGAGTTTCTATGGGTTAGTAGTAAAAACTGTTTATAAGAAAATTCACAATCATCACTGGAAATACAACTCTATTACAAGATCTTTGAACATCTGCATTTAAAGTTCTGATCATATTTGAAGTGCTCTTCTTTCCAGGAAAGAAAGCATTATCATTGCTTGAGTTATCCCAATAATAAAATTACAAAGAATAACACATTGATGGCTAAATTGTATATGCTAAATAACTGAAATTTGTAATGTGGTATATGCATTATTATAACCTGTAAGTTCAATTTTACACATTGATTTAGAGGCGACTGTTTTCAATGGGACAGAATGAGGTGTACTTACTGGCTGAGGTACACTTCTTTCAGTGTACCTCAGCCAGTAAATGCAACAAGCTGGTTGTTTATATACAAGTAAGAGTTACCAGAGAAAATAATAGCTACTGGATTCTTCAGTTTCTTAATTAAAAAAAAATTAAAATAGGACACTGGTTACCCCAAACTGGAAAATGAATTCTGCTTTGCTTCTGGAACCGTGACAAACACATGCCAACCTTTCTGAGCCTAATGACTTACAGATTTTGGAAACTGACCGTGCTAATTTGGGAGCTGTATCCCAACACATTTTGTTGGTGCCAAGTTCAAAAACACCGTCCTATGTCTGGAAATTGAAGTATTTCTTACACTTAATTCTGTTGCTGTGAAGACCTTGTTAGAGCTGGGCTACAGTGTAGGATAGACTAGAGAATGATGCCTTTAATCCAATGATTGGTCAAAAAGAAAAAGGTGATGGATTATTCTTGATAAAGATCAAAAATTACAAAGAAAGGCGGTGGTGCTAGCATTGTAAACTAAGAAACTGGCCAGCATTCCAGCAGCTTTTCCGAGCTATTGATTATCTTCTAGATTATATCTAGATTTCATTTTGAGAACGTGAGTGTTTTTTCCTATTTTGTAAAATGAGGTGGGAGGGGCAGCAACGAAGAAACTGGTATATCCAAATTAAAAAATTTCAATTGTCAAAACTTTTATAATAGTGTGTGTGTGCGTGCTTGTGTGTTGTGAACAAGACTTCCAATTTTTTTTATTTATGTTTTAAAAAATTTGAACATTAGAAGAATGTGAAATTGTTTATATTTGGAAAACTTCCTGCTAACAAATACTTAGGTATGAATCTGAAGTTTAAAGAAAAATTTAAGATTAGAAATGCTGGTACTAGAATAGCAAAAAAAAAAAAAAAAATCCTACAGCACCCTTTCAGAACAACTGCTGTTAATGTCAGTTGATATTTTGATCATTTAAACATAAAAATGTATTTATTTCAATCTTTGAAAAGAAAAAAAAATGACTGAAAGGCAGTTCACACTTGATCACTTCCTGCCACTGAATCAGCTTATGAAAGGATGTATCTTCTTTTCCTGTGCATAGGGGGGTGTAACTATTGTTGCTCACAGCCCTCATAACCACTAAATCCTGACTCTCTACTTAGTTCAACTTCTAGTAGCATAAATGCAGTTATATTAAAATTATTTTGGAAACTTCACAGTGAACCACAGAATCCATATTTCAGAAAGCAAACTTTGGATCTGCCTTTTAACTTAACCCAAAATAGTCTAGTAGTGAAGAGATTCAGGTTCTCCTCCTCTCTTAGGCATGGAAGATGGCAGGATGACATTGGATTAATCATTGTCTCACAGCCCTAGCTTGGGAAATAAAAATAAATAAATATCAACCTGCACTGGACATGCTCTGTGTGGGTCTATAATTTTTACTGAAGACGCCATTCATCCTGCAGTGGATATATTTGGTGATAATCATGCAGCAAAGGAACCTTCTATATTATTAAGTATCACAAAATGTCATCTTATTTCTGGCATGAAATCAAATTATTTTAATTATCTTATTTTCTGCTGGTCATGATCTATTGGTAAAGTGAGACACATTCAGAAAATAAATAACCACCACAATTCAGACTGGAAGCTTGGTTGTTAAGCAAAGTGTTTGCTGACTGTATTTATGATCTTCAACAACGCTACTTTTTTGTTATTACTGTAAGTGAATGGTCGCTAAATGAGACAGTTGCTAAACAAAGACTATCTGTGTGGCATTATTTTAATTTACTGTAGGCTGGTGGAGGTTTGGATCTGCAATTCTGACCAAATTCCAATTTTTCCAGTTTTCACCTGGTTGCTAAATCTTGGTCATATTAGAAAGTTGCCAGCAAACTCTAGTTCAGTGCTGGAGCTTTAGCCCAACCCTGAATCTAAGTAATGACCCTAAATTTTTATATTCAGTTTGTGAGCAATTCTTGATATGCTGAAGTGAAGATGAACCACCTATATCATGTGAAGTTTGAACAACTGAGTTGGAATATCAGTTTTTATATACTGTAGTCTTTTAATTGTACTTAAAATTCTAAGAAGAGATACTTGTGAATTTCCCTTCCCCCTTCTCTCCCCCCAACTGCTAACATAACTTGATTGGTGTTAGATACTATATAATTTGATGAGAAGAAACAGCAATTCTACTTCTGACAAACCTCTGGGAGGAAAATTGCTAGCTACAAAGAAGTATAGACTGAATACAGAGTTAATACATGAAAGTCTCAATTGCTCTTGTGTATCCAACCTGATATGCCAAATGATTGAGTATTCAACTTTCTGTGGCTAATATGAAAATATTAATTCAAATTTCTCAATATCTTGATTTTGTTTATGTCACCAATTATGTATAGATTCCTTATTTGAAGGTGGTGTAATGATTGGTAGAACAGATGTATATCTGACAAATGCAGCAGCTATAAAGTCTTTATATATAGTTTCACTTCTGTGATACACTAAACCTCTACTCTTTGTGTCCACACACCACTGAATCACAAACTAGCCAACCATATTTTACCTTAATTTGCTATAGGATCCCCAACCAGTATGGTTAGTTTATACTTCAGTAACTGTTAATTCAGTAAGCCATGGTTAAATCAACAATGGGTAATGGGTGGGCACATATTTTTCAAGAAGTTAGGATATGAAATTCAGCACTACAGTAAAATCCATATTTTTACAGACACCTTATTTTTGTGATCATATTTGTAATCAGAAACAAATCGCTGCTTTTATTTTGTTCCTCTTCATACCAGGCATCTAGGCCTTGGTCCTAAGGAAAAGTAATCAGAATGCAAAGATAGAAAATATGGTTCAGATCTAGAAAATGAAGGCCACGTTCACCAGAGGGGAAAAGGCAAACTTAAGGCAGCAGATCTTTCTGTAAAGGATAGGCAGTTCCCCGCGTCAACTGTTCAGACCTCTAAGTATATTCTTTGTCTACGGCATTTACTCCAAATTAAATCTCATTACATCCAGCGGTGGACTCGTTTGGGCATCACAGAAGAGAAACTTCCGTGAAATAGGAAGTAACTATGACAGTAAGACGACATCAGGGCTGCCGAATCGGTTCGCTGTGGAGGAGGCGGGGGATAGATTTGTGATTTGTTATTTGGACTAATGAAGAAGGGCGTGGGACGAGAAAGCAAAGCACTGCAGAATAACGGCTAGGAGGAAAACTTCCCGTCGACTTGCCCGCTGAAAGACACGGTGCAAACTCCCGCTGCTATAAATAGAACAGACTTGGACCTCTCCCGTAGGATTGGGACTGACTTTTGACGGAGGCGGCCTGAGAGCGCCTTTTCCCTCCGTGCGGCCGCTAAGGAAGCCCGAGAATTCTCCTGCTCCACCTTAAGTCGCCAAGTGTAGGGAGACTACGGGAGGCAACAGCGCCTCCTTAAGCGGCTGCGGGTCCCGCTCGGGCGGTGTTGGAGGCGGCGGCGCGTGCGGCTGGGGGAAGGGGAGGGAGGAGCTCGCGCTGCCCGGACCAGCCCGCGCGCCGCCGCTTCCAGCAAGCAGCAGCGCCTGCCGGGTGGAGGGTCCAGTTCGCGCCGTGCGGACAAGGGCTGAGGCCAAGGCGGAGCGGCGCACGGGGGCAGCAAAGCCCCGGGGGAGGCGGCAACACCATGGCCGGCCCCCCGCCGCCGCCCCCGGGCCAGGAGGCGCCCCGCTACCAAGAGTGGATCTTAGACACCATCGACTCGCTGCGCTCTCGCAAGGCGCGCCCGGACCTGGAGCGCATCTGCCGCATGGTGCGCCGGCGGCACGGCCCGGAGCCGGAGCGCACCCGCGCCGAGCTAGAAAAGCTCATCCAGCAACGCGCCGTGCTCCGAGTCAGCTACAAGGGAAGCATCTCGTACCGCAACGCTGCACGGGTCCAGCCTCCCCGCCGAGGTGGAGCGCCCGCCGCCAGTCCGGCGGCCCCGCAGCGCCCGGCCCGCACTTCCCCGCCCAGCGCTCCCGCCGCCACCGCGACGCCCCGGTCCTCCCAGCGTGCTGCGCCTCGCGCAGAACCAGTCGCGCCGCCGCCGCCGCCACCGCCTCCGCCTCGTCGGACCGGACGGGAGCGGCCGCCACCGCCCGCCGCCCAGGAGGAATCCTCCCCCACTGATCAGCGAGAGACTGGGCGCAACGTCAGGGTCGCCCCACGAGTGACTCGAGGCCGAACACAGGAGCTGCTTCAGGAGGAGAGGCTGGAAAGAACCCGCTTGGGTGGCGGCGGCGGCGGCGGCGGCAGCAGCAACAGCGTCGCTTTGCCCAGGGCGGAGAGAGGCGCGCAGGCCCGGGCCCCCAACGCCAGACCATACAGGAATAAGGTGAGGAGACGCCGGGGCGCGCTCTGGGGGGATGGGTTGGCAACAGCGGGTGGCGGCGGCGACTGTGTCTGGCTTGGGGCGAAGGGGACGCACCGGCTGAGAACAGGTGAGGCTCTCCAAGAAGGAAACGGACCGATTAGAGTGCGCGCGCAGGGGGGGGGGGGCCCGAAAGTGGGGGGGGGGGGGGGGGGGGGCGGGGGGGGGGTGCGGGGAGGTGGGGGGGGGAGGGGAGGGGCGCCAGAAAGCCGCCAGTTTGGGGGCGGGCGGGCGGCGCCCAACCCCCAGATGTTGTCGGTGGGCTCTCGGGCAGGTGTGCGTGTGTCTGGAAGGAAGAGTTGAGGGCAGCACCCAATCAAATCGTGTCGCACTGGAGGGGGCGCTAGGATTGGTGCGTGGTTTTAAACGGGGCAATATTCCCTCGTACGTTTCCGAAGTATTTCTGCAAGGTTAGGAAAACAGAGTCTGGGTTGGTTTTTGGCGCCCAGAGAACTTCAAGGTCGATTCTCAGGGGAGGGTGGGGGGGCGGGCGGACGACGCTCTTCCAACATAGGAGGGTTCTTTCTCAGCTCACCTGTGTGGGTGTGCGATCCTTCTTCCATAAGGTTAGTTTAACTGCCAGTGGTGTACATTGGGCCCAGAAGAGCGCCCCCTTCTACCCCCACTCCAGTCGTACCAGGCTCCATCTAAACACAGAACAAAGAGTCAGTTTGTGCTTGACCTAAAGAATTTGGTAACCTCCAATAAAGTCAAGAGGTGGTGGGAGCAGTGGTGACGGAAGGCGCTTGAGTATGGGTAAGCTGAGGTGGGGAGGAAAAGATCATGCAGGATGGATCGGGAAGTAATCACCTCAGAAATGTTATCCAGTTCAGTTAGCCTTGAAATGACCAAGGAGGTATTGGCATTTTTGGGGAAGGGGGGGAAATCCTGCCCCTTTTTTATTCTTTTGTTCTTTTTGCAATTCTTTAATTGATGAGAATGATCGCAGATTTTCGTAAAAGCTGCAGGTGGAAGCGGCAGTGGTTTAGCGGTACAAAATTCTCCCTGGATAAAAAGTTTCCTCTTCCTGCTTCAAGGAGCTTTTAAGCACATTGCTAGAGCAGTGGAAACATTTAAGAAGTTTCCCATCCCAGCACCACTTAGTCTGATTGCATCAACTGCCCTCAGAGATATCTGGGTATGTACAAGTGAAACAAAATGGCTCAGAAACTGCCTGGGTTTGGGGTATGAGATGTCTTATCCAAAGTAACGAACAATGCAGTGATGTGTCTCAAAAGTAGTTGTGCTTGCTTCCATGTGTGACTGTACGAGAGATTATCATCTATCATCCCAATATGTCATAAGAATGCCAACTTAAAGTGTGTTTGCTGTTCTTATTTATTCTCTGTGATACTAATAGAAGGCAGGGGAGGAGATCAAAGGTGAAGAAGACGAAGACGAAGAAGAGGATGAAGTCTCCACTATGTCTGAAGGCTCAGAGGTGGCACAAGATTTTGAAGCCAGCAACTACAGTAGACCTGGGACAGGCCAGGTGAATGGTAACTGTAAGGACAGCAAGCATGGTGGGAAAGAGATCCCACCCAGCAGTGCCACCCCCAGAGACCTGCACTCCCTAGAGGAAACATCTTTGAACAAAGGATTGGAGCATTCTCAGCATGAAGGAAATGAGCAATGTCACACAAAGGCCTCTTGGCCTGGAGAAAGTGCCTGTCACCATCTGGGAGGCAGCAAGAAAGATGGCAGTGTCTATCAGCAACCAGACAGAGCAGGTATGGGTTAGGCAGGAAGAAGATGGGGAAATAGTTGCCTAAACTTGGCTTTTCTGGGAAACCTAGTAGATAGTAAGGCAAAAGATCTGAGATTGGGGGTCATTTAAGCGCTAATAATTCTGATATGGATTGGGTGATAATTTAATGTATCCTTGCATTGTATGTCAGCGTATATGTGTAGATCTGCAATAAATATGGAGACTCATTCAGTTTTAAGAATTATTAACTGGCATTCTAGAGTAGGTTGGAACTAGAACGGGGGGGAAGCAAGAATATGGTTAGTGGCATTGGCTATCTTGGAAATTAAAATATTCTTTCGATAATCACATTTTTCACTGCTTTTAAAGGACCCCAAACACAGTTCAGTCCAATTCCAGTTATACCGATACAGAACAAGACCTACCCCTGTTTGTTTCTCTGCTTTTTCTCCAGTGTCGCCAGCTGTTGCAGGGGCTGATCCCTCTGTGCCCTCATCTCCTGGGAGACCTGGCATCCAGGCAGATGGGAGACCATTCAGTTGCGTGTAAGTTTTGTGCAGAGATTGTTCTTCAATTATACCTGGTTTATTTATGATAAAGAAAAAGTGGATACATTTGAACCCGTCTTTTGCTACTATCACTTGTTTTTAGAGTCTAGAGCAGTGTTTTCAGCAATTAATGTAGATTGAAGATATCTCAGGGAGCTTGATCATATCTCACTTGCTCTACTTTTATAATGGTCACTGCCACCACACATTGACCGGTTCTAATGGCAACAACACCAAGGATCTAATATGCCCTGCCTTGGGAAAGGAAACTTGTATGAGAAGAAGATGGTCTGAAGAGGAGAAAGGTTATAAGGCCTCTTTGGCTACTGTCTCTGTGATGATTGCTAGAGGAAGTGAGCCTCCTCTTCCTTTCAGATTGCAAAATAAGAGCTGTGGGGTTGAAATAGCCACATAGGGGTTGTCTTGTTTGTTATCCTTAAAGTGTCATACCATGCTAGAATTCTTGATGTGGTGGTTGCTTCCAGTTGTTGGAGGAGACTCATGACTAGCCTGGCTTCAGTTCTCTTTGCCCTGGCCTGTTTGTTTTGTTGACCTCTATGGACTGGACTGGCTTTGCTTGCTGTTCAGAAACAGCATTTAATGCAAACTCCAACTGCAAACTTACCAAGCATGACTGGATGTTAACAATTGTAATGCACCTACACTGTGCCAACTACTTTATGCATTACCTTTTAGATATCATTAGAGCTAAGAACCAGAGTATTTGGCCATTCTGGCTCATGTGTACTTAACTTCACATTGCCTCCTTTAGGTAGCAGTAATGTAAAATGACAAGTTGTGAGCAAAGAGGGTGTCTTCACTCATTCCCAGTTGCAGAACATTGACCGGAGAGAGAATTGTCTTTAACACCTGCTTTCAGCTCCAGGCCAATAACTTTTTATATTCCCAAAGTTTTTAAGGCCATGTCCGTTTTGTAATACTCTTACAATTTTCTCATCTGTGGTATTTAATTTTCTTAGTTTTTACTTTAAGTTATAATCATAGCAGTGTAATTGCAAGCATGTGTATTCAATTGGTGCATTTTTCTACGTCTGCAGTAGATGCTTTAAGGCAGACTTAAACTTCTACAGAAAGATGCTATACAATTCACTTGTGATTTAATTTTTTCAGTGCAGTATGAGTGCACATGCATAAGCACGCATGAACAATATAATACCCCTGATCTGGAGCTGATGAGGAATCCCTGGCTTGGAGAAGAAGCAGTGCAAGGCCTCTGATCTCAATTTTACTTTCTCCTGTCCCCCCCTCCAGTTCAGTGAAAGAGAAGCCTTCTGACCCCGTGGAATGGACTGTCAGTGACGTCGTGGATTATTTCACAGGAGCTGGGTTTGCTGAGCAAGCTTCGGCCTTTCAGGAGCAGGTGAGACCCTGGGGATCCCAAGAAAAGGGATTGGAGGATTATATTTCAGCTAAAGTGCTTATGAAATGGGCCCTAAAAGTATTGGCCTCTTTATTTTGATGGAAAAGGTGCTGGAACTCGGGAGTTTGGGTCCCATTTGACTGGGGCAATTGCTTTAAAGATCTGGGTAAAGGTGCATCCAAACTTCAGTTATTATATGGCTTTCTTCCATGTAGTATTTCTGTCTGTTTCTTACTCTTGTGATTCTCAATGCCATTCCAGCCTCAGTATTTCAAGAGAACAACCTGCTTAAAAGTAATTATATACTGTGTGATCACTGGTTTATCTCAGTAACAATATATTGTCTTATGTTTCATTAAAAAAAACACCTCCCTTTAAAACATGGTGAAACTGAGATGAGAAAGCGGCCCCTCACTGGATGTCATTTGACATTTGTGGTCCTCCTGTTCGTGACTAGTTTTTTTTTTAAGTTCAGGCTGTAACAAGATTTTGGTGCCTCTCATCAAAACATGTTTTCAGAAAGATCCCCCCACACCTTCTTTTGCGCCTCCTGACAGTTTCAACCACCTTGCAGTCATGCTCCCTAATTCTTTACTGTGGCCTCTTCGTTAGATAGCCTTTTGTTGGCTTCTTTAAAAACACAAATTTCAGTTTTGCACAATAAAGGCTTGAAAAAAAGCTTTGTGCTTTCTTAAAGCTCAGATTTTAAACCTTTTAGATCTTTTTTCCATCTCACATTTAGGTGTGTTGGGCAATTAAACCATTTTGATGCCTAGGAATCATAGGTCTGATCCTTGAACATACCTTAGACATTTCATACAGGGGAGCAAATATTCTATCAACTCCCCATTACAAGACTCAAGAAAATCAAATACCTATAAAAATATAAGAAGATGATATTATAGTTTCATTCATTGTTAGAGCACTATTCACATCCATCAATCCAGAACTGGCAAATTAATCTGAGTTCCAAGTTTGACAAGCCAGTCGAACTAATTACTGAATTATACTTCCACACTGGCAAAGTCTGCCAGCACACCTGGGGTGCCTGGTAACTTTAAGAGGGTAGGAATAGAGTGGCAAGCACTGACAAGGAGCTGGGGGGGGAGTGTATTGGGCCCTAGTCACCTGCCTTACTTTGCCTAATGGTGGGTTGGCCAAGCCAGTGCAGTTGGGTTGGTTGTTTTTTCGTTTTATTATAAATATGTTCAAAACTAGCAAGTGAATAAAATGTAAATGTAAATACAGGTATCATTTTCATGTAGCAACCGTTTACAGTTACGACAGAGATAAAAGTAACTAAGATTTCACTGACAATCTTTGCAGATCTGTAAAGCAGAGGAAGGTTGAAATGCGGTAAGATCATAAGCAGAGTCATAGTTTTGCTTAGCGACTGCTTTGTTTGAGGGATGAGGTGCTGGTCCCAAGTGTGGTCACGAAAGAAAGATTAATAAAAGTGATATAAAAAATCTAATTTAAAAAAGGCCAATATTGCAGAGAGATTAGTTGAAGTCATGTCTGTTTCTAGAACACATTTTCTTTAGTAAATCCCTGTGCTAAGCAGAGTAATGGACTAGATGTCTTGCAGAGACAAATGGTGATTCTGTAATGGCTCTTCTCAGCTCACAGACGGGTGAGAGAGACGCATATATGTAGCGCATGTGTGTATGTATGTATGGGTGCCTGGATGCCTCAGTGTTGTTTTATTCAACTAGACTTGGGACTCTTCTCCTGCTTTGTAGAAAGGAAGAAACCTCTTCCTAGCAGGCTGCTGGTGCCCTAATCTCATGATGTTCTGTTTTTGTGTCCCCCCCTCCCCCGTCCCTAGGAGATCGATGGGAAATCTCTGCTGCTGATGCAGCGCACTGATGTGCTTACTGGCCTCTCTATTCGCCTGGGACCGGCCCTCAAGATCTACGAGTATCACATCAAGGTCCTCCAGCAGTGCCACTTTGAAGAAGACGAGGGCGACTCCTTCATGGGCTGAGGAGAACGGGCCAAGCCAGTGAGGGGGAGGGAGAGAACAACGCTACTGTCAACGCTACTGTCTCAGCCATTTCAGCCTTCCTTTGCCTCTGTGAAAACAAGACAACCGTTGTGGGGAAGGGCAAGGGTCCTTGTGGGGAAGGGCAAGGGCTTGGACCGTATCTGGTGAGAGGAGGGAGGCAGAAATGAGGACCCAGCTTCCGTGGCATCCCTATCCCGGGTTATCTGGTGATCCAAAAGACTGGGCTCAGAGGGCTAGAAGCTCACTTTCTTCTCTCATCTTGCCTATCCAACCCGACCCCAAGCTTTCCACTCACCATAGTGCATTGTCTGTTTGGGGGGGAAGATGAGGCAATATGGTTTTCCTCCTCTTCCCAATCTTCACCTGAGCTGAAATAATTTATGCTTCAGCATCCAAATGGCTTCTCCCTTCCCTCTCCCCAACAGTAGCATTTGATAGCCCTGATTGCTCCTCCTTCCTTTCGGTGATTGGTAAGAAAGAGTTTGCTGGAGGTACCGGGAGGTTTTAATCAAATAGCTTTTTATTCTCTTTTCTGTTCAGGTAGCCTTTTCTTCCAATTTTCATGATTGTTGCCCAGAGTCGGTTGCTTTTTATTATTTTTTTCTTCCCCATTTTTTAAAAATACAAATATTTAAACTGGAAAAAAAAAAAAAGAATTAGTATTCCCACATACCTTAGCCCTCTATGAAGGGTAATGGAACCGCTGAAATGACTGTATGTTTAAAGGGCAAAAGTGTGCAAGAGGGCTCCAGATTTTGGGTTCTGCTCTAGGGAGAAGTGTCATCTGGTAATCAAGTTTTGGAAAGAAGAAAGCAAGTGGGGGTAGATTATCTTCTGTCTAATCCATAGATGGGAATAGACTTTAAGGGTTCCACCTTAATTTTCAGTATTGTAATCCGTGGGATAAAAGCGCGGTAACCTTTACATAATCACCAAAAAGTCTAAAATAAATGTAGGATTTATAGATGGGCTCTTTCCGGTGGGCAGAGAGTTATAACTATGTGCGTGCGTGTGTATGTATTTTCATTAGCAGTGTGTTCTTATATAAGGACTATAGTAGACCATACCACTAATATTAATGCTTTAGGGGCATAGAAAAGAATAGAGAATGGAATTGGCCAGAACCATATTTTTTTTCCTATCAAAAATCCAGGTGATGGTTTTCCTGTCTGTAGGATTGGCCTCTTCCTGTTTAAGCAGGCTAAGTCCTAAAAGATTGCAATGCCAAGAGGACACTGTACAGTATTAAGAATTATTCTTGGTAAACTTGTAAACATCAGGTGATGGAGGCGTTCTGGTGGGCACCTTATACAACATTTCAGATTCTTGGTGGTTTTGAAGACACGTTGTACTTAATATTGGCTAGGAAACATCTGTTTCACAATTGCAAGTCAGTTTCAGCTTTGCATTAAAAACAATGGGAACTTTATAGAGGATGCGGACAACTCTTTAGAATAGGATCTTAGACTGTGTACAGAACATCATTTCCAAAACTCCTCATTGGAGAATCATGACAGATCACTTCAACTGATATAAATTAGAAATGTAAAGGGGATCTTACTGAGAGTGAGAAAAATTTATATCTACTCTGTTTAGTTGTGCATTAGGAACAGAAAACTACATAACTGCAAAGAGAGAAGGAAACTTCAATTTGCTTAAAAGGAAGAATGCAGATATGAGCACACTGAATTTTATGTTCTCAACGTTTTCCTTTGACCCACGAAGGCTAGAAAATTATACTTTGAACTTTGATAACAGAGGTTCTTGATGTTTTAGCACAGAAGTGCCTCAGGGGCTTACATACTGGCTACACATTGCTCTCTATTGCACTAGGCCCTATTTTTTTTGTCCAGAGCTGGGAATAAAAAAACTAAAATTTTTAAGTTCTAACAAGTCTTAACCCCTTGTATTTTGTCTATTAGAAACTTGCTGTGTGCAAGCAATAATACACAATGCAGCGTAGGAAACAGTGGCTGATCCAGCAGCAGCTGGAGTGGCTTTTGATCTTGTTCACTCCTTTTGGTAATAGATATGGAGCTCTTGGTTCACTCTTACTCATTCCAGACAAAATGAAAGATCACTGTAATAGGTAACTAGAAATATAGGTATATATTATACACACACATACCAGTGAGGCCAAAATGAAATGAGATGTACTGGTGTATCTTAAACGTTTAAGGAGCAGCTTAAGGCATACTTTTGCAATGAAAGATTAAAAAGCTGGTAGCAGCTTTGTGTTGATACATACATGATTTTTTCCCTCAGACATAAGACTAGTATGTAATACTTGTGATTATCATACGCTGATGACAATTCATTGTGTGTGTGTGTGTGTGTGTGTGTAGGTCTAGGTGTGTTCGGGTCTTTTCCTGTGTAAGAGTATCTTGGCGACGTTTCGGCGAGGTCCCACTCGCCATCCTCAGGCTGGTGCTTTCGGCTTTGTGCCAGTGCAAGTAGTGTGGCACAAAGCCGAAAGCACCAGCCTGAGGATGGTGAGTAGGACCTCGCTGAAACGTCGCCAAGATACTCTTAATCTTACACGGGAAAAGACCCGAACACACCTAGACCTACATACCTATACCTGTGAAAATCTATGAAAACAAATTATATATATTTCATCCACTTATTTTCAGAGGCTACTTTACAATGTATGCAAATCTTTATTATAGCACCTTTAGAAGGCATAGTAATCATTAGCAGAAAATTTTAAATTTGAGTTCATCTACTCAAAAATGTACGAAGGTTACTTCACTGGCATTGGCTAAGTCTCAGGTCAGCATAATTGCATCCAAACTATTTTGATTTCAGGGTAATGCTGAAAGAGGTATTTGAGGAGTGGTGGTTGGATGGTGGTTATCTTTGATATGTGAATCCTGGCTACCTTGGTTGAATGTGAGTACTCGTAGTGAAGCCACAATGCCTTCCAAGGTCACTTTCCTACACAAAAGTGGATGTGGCTCTTTAGGAACATGAACCTAACAAACTGCAACCTGTGCTTAAGATCAATTTCTGAGTAAATATTCCATGTGCAAATAATAAGGGCTGGAATTGCCTTGGGACCATCTATCTGCCCCCCCTCCCACACACACACAAATAATCTCAGGTTTAGTATAATTTATTCCTATATAGGTGGACATGGATCTAATCTTAGTTTTCTCTCTTATTCATCTGGGTGTTCCTATTAAGTGTCCATCTTTGGTTCCACCTAAGAAACCCATCTTTAAAGAAAAATCACTTTCTGGCATTTAAAAAAGGTGTGCTAGATGTTAATTATGGGTATCTACAGAAATTCAGGTGCTAGTGCACATTGTGTATAAATGCAGAACTAGTAGAAGTTATCCCAATTAATATAATGGTGTATTTACTTTTTATTTCAGCAAAAATATTCTGGATATATAGTAATTGATTTGAAGGTTCTATGAGATGTCCCTGCACCATGCTATGCCTTATTACAAAAACAGTTAAGCAGCCAATTTGATCAAAGAGTTATCTTTTTTTTCTATTGAAAAGGTGAAAACATTGCAACTTTTAATTGGAGAAGGACAAAAATTGTTAATTCTCTTGGCATGGGAAAAATGGGCATTTCCTTCCCAAATTACTTGGAGGCATCTAATTGTAATGATGGACAGACTATGCTGTTCAGAGCTACTTTACCATGTGCTACAATGAATTGGTGGAATTTCCTTTCCTAAAACATGCCAACTTTAGAGAGACTAGGACTCTCCCTTGTTAGCCCCATGATAACTTTAAAAGAATTTCCAACTTGGAAGCAGAACATTTCTCATTATTGGATGTTGGGGGCGAGGTGGGAAATTATGTTGGAGCATTTGCCTGCAAAAATAGGATGCTGATTTGGGCAGAACTACAATATAATCCAGAACTTTTTAATGTTCCTTTTCATTTCTCTTATTTTTCAGTATGGAATATAATAGGGCTGATGCCATCTCTTGCAAAGATTTCCAATAATACCTTTGCTGTGCCTCCAAAGGTCAACTCCACTTCAGACATATAATTCATTTCTCAAATTGGTCCTTCGAGCTGTCAACTCGTTTCATATGCCTGTTAAGCTTCTATAGGAGATCAGCTTCAGGTGTAAGGTTGTGTTTGCAGCCATCTTGAAAAATTGCCTTCTAGTGTTCAAACAGTCCCTTGGTGGAGTGGAATAAACTTTTTGGTTATAGAGTTCTTTGTGCCTTACATAAGAGGATTCACTGATTTGTAAATCACAGACTAGAGATGTAATCTTTCTGAACAGAACTTTCTGAGTATCTCAGCTCAGAATTAACAGTGCTCAATCTTGATTTTAGTGAGAAAAAAAGTAGGGAATAAGGAAACATGATACAACTTCCTATTTTGCTATGGAGAGCTTTTCCCTGAGAATATCAATTGACTAAAAGGCTATGTAGTAAGCATGCATAATATATTACATGCTTTAAAGCAGTGGTTGCCAACCAGTGGGCCAGGGACCACTGGTGGTCCACTAGAAAATTTTGGTGGTCCGCAGAGAAATGTCACCCCCAAAGCACCAACCAAAGCAATTAATCCAGGCTATGCAGGAACACAAGGTTGCGCCGCCCACGTGGCCTGCAGGAAAGCAAGGCTTGCGTCGCTTGCATTGTGAACAAGAGGGGAGGGGAAAGAGGGCAGAGGAGAGGAACTTGCCCCACGCGCCTGGGTTGCTTCTTTCCGCTACTACTTTTGGCTGCACACAAGGAAAGCAGCAAAAGTCTTTCTCTTCCCCAAACTCCGCCAGAAATGAGTCTTTGGACCCTGCAAGGCATCCTGCTCCAAGAGGCTACACCGGCATGACAAGTCTCACAAAGACTCATTTCTGGCAGAGTTTAGGGGAGAGAAAGAAAGACTTCTGCTTTTGCTGCTTTCCTTGCATGAAGCCAAAAGTCTCAGTCTCTGTCTCTGTCTCTGTCTCTCTCTCTCTCTCTCTCTCTCTCTCTCTCTCCCCACCCCCAGAACGGAGCTGGAGACAGTATCCTGCGATCCCAAATAAATGATTGATCAGTAGGAAAATGGGGTGGGGAAATTTCCCAGGGTCTCTGGTCCACGGGATTTAAAATTATGAGTTTGGTGGTTCCTGAGGTCCAAAAGATTGTTGACCCTTGTTTTAAAGAATACATTTCGGAAATAGAGCACAGGATTAGTAGCAGAACATGCAAAAATACTTAAGTTTTGTAAGCTACATATGAATATCATCTATTTTACAATTTATATATACGGAAGGCTAAAAACTGATGGGTTGTCAAGCATCGAAATGCGGCCACGTGGCAGGACATTGAAACTTCAGAACTGGGTTGTATCTTTGGGTGGAGTCCATTGTAACTTCAAAAGGTCACAAGTCAAGGACTACTTGTACTGTCCATTCCTCCTGCAGTTCAAGATGCTCATCTTCTATCAGCAGGCTAAAGTGGAGATGCTATATCAAGTTTAGTGTGTTTGGTATAACCTTTTAAACTCTCCCTTACTCTGGTTCATGGACTAATCCCAGTTAAAGAATTGGAACTATTAGCTACTTTAGCTCTGCAAGTGATATTTGTTATGATTGTACAGCAGCTTCAGTGAAAAAGGGCTAGAGAGATTTCCGCCACAGAAGAAGACTAATTCCATTTGTTCATGCAATCATGAGTACCTAGCATTGGAAATTCAGATTAACTTCTTCAAGCCTACCTAGAATTTTTATAAATTTAAAGCACAGTTACAGCCATTACAGTTTAGCCATTTGTTTTCCACACAAAAGTAGCCCTGGCCTGTATCTTTTAAAAGGGCTCTGATTCAGCAGCAGAACTTTAATCTGCAGAGCGGCTTCTCAATAATTAGTCAAGTAAACATACTTCAGAGGTCCTGGACCATTAAAGATGTAACCAATTTTGCACTGCATTCTGACTATTAAAAACCAAGCAATTTTCAAAGAGGGACATCAGAATAACCTCAATTTTATTTTTATTTTTTTAAAAAAAATCTATAATTTATCACACTTTGCTACATTAACCAAAAAAAGTTGCACACATCAATACTTTGTTACAGACAATAAGGCTCCATATCAATGTTAACTAATGGAACTAAACTTCAAGTGATTTGAGAAAGCAGGTATAGGAAGATGGCAGAGTTACTGAGATGAACATTTTCAAAAACATTTCACATTGTTTTCAGGAGAGAAGCAGTATTGCAACAAGATTAGCTTTATGAGTACAGTACCTCTTTTAAAATTGGCAATTAGAAAAAGCTTTTTCACATTGTTTATCTGGTAGTAGATTAGAAGGGCTTAACTTTTAGATAGTGATCTCTGCTCTGAATTTAGGCAGTTTAATGTAGACTCTCAAATGTGGGAACAAAAATATGGCAGGGCTAAAGGGAACCGTTAAGCAATTGATGTGTGATGGAGTCAATTTATCTAATCATGCTGCTGGACACCATCCCTGTAGCTGCTGTATAGTTTCATACTGCTCTTACTAACAAATGCCAGAGCAAACCTAGCATGGTTTCACTGCCAGTCTATGACTCTCTAGATCAGGGGTTTTCAAACTTGACAGCTTTAAGACTTGTGGACTTCAACTCCCAGAATTCCTCCTCCAGTCATGTTAAGCTCAGGAATTCTGGGAGTTGAAGTCCACAAGTCTTAAACTTGCCAAGTTTGAAGACCCTTGCTCTAGATGCTACTGAAAAATGTCTCAACATTGAACAGTTACACAAATTGACAGAGACTGCTTGGAATTGTAATTCACAACTTGAGAGCTGTGCCAGACGTTGCATTGGCCCACAATCAAGTCAGGAAAGCCTCTTACGATGACACACATACAGCTCTACTTGGCCAGGCATAACCACTGGTTATGGGGAAAAAGGAAAAAAGTGCAGGGGGGAGGAAGTTAGCTACTTGCTACATAAGCATGAAGCTTGGGCTAGCACAAGTCTAAGAATCTGTTGCATCAAAACAAAACTTGGTCCCTATGTTTTGTTTTCCCTAACTTTCTATGTTTTCTATGTCCCTAACTTTTACACTTCAGATAGAAGTTCAAGTGGTCTACAAATTGCATCTTTGAAAAAAAAAAAAAGTCCAAAACTGAGTATTTAGCAGCCTTTTCTTACCAAGTCTTGTTTAGGATGCTAAAGTACATCTCTCTTTGAATCTAAGGTCTCTTCCAGCCACTGTATAGGTTGCATATGTTGCTGAGTAGTCCACTTCATAGAAGTAGACAAGAGGCATAGAGTGACCGCATTCTAAATAGTAGATACACCAATTATTCAAAAACACTTTTAAGATGTCCTCATTTGTAAATTTCATTTCCATGCTGGCTACATTCACATAATCCATTTAAGCTTACTTTTTTAATTAATCCATGTCCTTGTGCCAAAGATATTGTGCAAATCCAGCCTGTTTGATAATATACAACTTCATCTGTTAGCTCTCATCTTAAGTGTATTGTGTGGGCACAACTTTTGAGATGCTACTTCCTTTTAAAAATACCTCTCATGGTAAAACAGCTTTTCCAGGAAATTTGGTTTTGAAAGTTTACTATGACCAAAAAAATAATAATAATCAAATATTGGCAGCCTGGCAACCAAATGTGGATAGCTTTCCATGAGGAGATGTCAGTAATCAGGGCCACTAGCATCTTGTGTTACTGATAGCTTTCATTAATGAAGAACATTGTAGTGTTTATCAAAATATGTGGGAAGGGAAGCTTTATTTTTATCACATTTGACAGTGATATCAGTAATTGGCACAATCACATTACAACTAAATAAAAGATGGGCCTTACCCTCTGGAAATTAGTGTATGCCCTGGAAGTCCCAAACATAAAAGGTTGGTCAGTCTGCTGAACCAAAAACAATCCAAGGCCTAAGACAGCATGGGACAAAAGTAATCATGATTCAGAAGTGCTTAACTATTCACACTATTAGCTGCTGAAGACAAAGGGGAGAGCCATATCTCCAGTCAGCTAATACTTGACCCTTCCTGGACATTTAATAGATACACTTGGATGAAAAGTAGTGGTTCCCCTCCAAAAAAAATGCCTTTTATATATGTATATAACTTGTGAGAGGGGAAATAATCAGTGGAAAGATTCTACCTCTACCACAGTCCAGTCCCCATGTGGGGATGACATGTCCTCTGGGGAAAAGCTTGTCACAGAAGTGATGCTGGCTCGAGATTCTTCCAAAGGGGAGATCAGTTCTGTCCATTTGCCAATCTCTGCTTCGCTGTTCATGGCCCCCTTCCCACTGATAGCCCCAGGGGGCGCTTCTGTTGGGAAGAGCAGGGCCCGGCTGATTAGCTGCTGTACGACTGTAGCCTGGATGTTTCCTAGCTGAAGAGCCTGTTCTCGGGAGGCGGCACGCAAGCAACAGCTCCCATCCTCTTCATCTGGGCCAGGTGTTTCAGCACCACTTTCTACTTCATAGATAGTGGAGAGGATCTCTGATGGACATGGATCCCAGGGGAAGGGCAAGCCAGCCCCATTGTCACCTACAAATAGGGCAAGGAGCTTGGGTTGGAAAGGATGGCCCTCAGGATTGGTAGTGGTCACAACAGACAGAAAGGAAGTGACAGACAAGAACAAAAAAGAAAAGGGAAAGTGGAAAGAGGCTAGGTTTTAAAGAAGAAGAAAAAAAGGAGATTCTTCTCAGATTTGCAAGAAATTCACTCCATTGCAGTTATAGTGCCAATGCACTAAGCCCTGATTTCTAGGGTATAGACAATGAATGTGCTTTTTATGGCTGGGTTTGTGTTATCTTAAAATTCAGTATAGCATGTTTGGTTTTGGCTTAGTATGTTAATGAATCCACCCAAGGTTAGGATATTTGCCTAAACACAGAAACACACATGATTCCAGAGGAAAGGCAGGTCCAGACTGCCGGACAACTTGGATTAAATTAATTGTGAGCCCCATAAAACATCTAACAGTCCAAGCATTTTGTGGAATTCTTAACACTATTGTGCTGTTTAGTCCCTGCTCTGCTCTCTATATGTTCTCGGAACCCAATGCACCAAAAAGATGCAAAATCCAATGACATGAAGAAATTGCAAAAGACACCTTTACCAAAGGATAATTAAAGATGACATCCCCTAGGAGCTCATGGCTGCAGAACAGGATGAGGACCTCAGGCAATTCTGATGGATCAAATTTTCCTGATACTTATTCATATATTCCAAATAAAGTTTGCTTCTCGCATATGCCACTCATGTTTGTCCAGCTCATATAGAGCAAACCCCATAACTTCTGTTTGCATTCTAGATGCTATTTGTTATTTTCTTTCTTATACCCACAACATCCTGGTGGGGCTTCAGAAACCAACCATTACAGCTACATTTATTTGGCACCCTTCTTTCCAAGTTAAAAACTGCAAGTGGTATGGACTGGTAGGTGGAGAAGACAGATTCTCTGGAAAAACAATACAGGCCACATCAGATAGACAAAGTGATGCTTTATTTTACATATTGAAAGGCTAAGAAGTTTATTCCCACCATCATTACCACCACCACTAAGAAAAGCACTAAAATATACACAACTTTCCCAAAAGAAGTCAGAAGTTGAGAGAGAAGATTTTAAGACACACAAAAACAAGAAAATGCCCATTTGGCTAGAGACACAGATGGAACAGATACACAAGGAGGAAGGGAACCATCTCCATTCCCTACAGGATACTATTGCACATTAACATACCATAGGTTGGCCCATCCAACACAGACAGGGCAGGATTTCTATACATTACCTGCAGTCAGACTATGAGCAGCAGAGAAAGGCTGTGACGATTCTTCTTCGTGCCCTCCAGTATTCAAGGGTGTTGGGGTGAGGTGCAAGTGTTGCTCCCAATCTATGGGGATCTTGCTGCAGGTCTCCTTAGTGCCCTCAGTGGAGTGTTCTTCGCTGTCCAGGGAAGAGAGGCCTGGGCTTTTGCCACAGCTGTCAGTTGAATGGAGATGGAAGGCACCAAAGACATCACATGAAGCTGCAGAGTTGGTCGAGGCTGGGGTTTCTGTGCCAGCATCCCCAGAACCTGGTTCGTCAGACTCCTCTACCGAATGGGGCAAATGTGACTTGGCTGGGAGAGGAGAGGTCAAGAGGCATACCGTTTTGGGAAAGCCTGCTTCCTTCAGAAGATCCGCATCCAGTTCGGCTTCTTCCTCGGAGGATACAGTGGGCTCAGTAGGTGGATCTCCAAGGACTTCATCTGCTGGCAGGGTCTCTGCCTCATCATCTCCCTTTTCCATGTGGATGCCGAGATCAAGTTCCCCAGGGAGGTCCTCCAAGGGACTCAGGAGCTGATGACAAGTTTGTTCGAGTTTCTCATCTGACTTGGACTCAACTCCAGAGCTACTGTCATACTCCCGCAGCTCTTCAGGCGTGCTAGTTTCACTGCTGCTCTTACCTGCCAGATCAGGCCCACTTAAGGTGCTGGATTTGGAAGATGAGCCTCCCTTCTCTGGGGAGAGAGCTTTCAGCCCTGTGCTACTTAACAGCAACTCTGGCATTTCAGTCAACTCAATTGGGTATTCTTGTAACAACTCCAAGCTCTTCAAAGGCAAGCTCTGAGGTTTGTGCACTGACAGCTGAGCAGTACCACTATTTGGTGAGAGCTCCCCTGAAGGATGAACTAAGTAGTCTGGAGTTTCGTATTGATTGGCCTCTTCCTGCTTCATGTTACTCATGCATTCTTCTGGAATGACTGCATCATCCTCAAGTTCTCCAATGGTGGGATATTCGTCTAAGCTGCTAGACTGATCATCATAGCCTGCAAAAGGCTCTCCGGACAATTCTGTAGGGATTGAGGTTGCTGCTACAAACACAGGGAGACGGGTTTGGTACTGAGTAGCTGCTCCCATTATTAAATGATCTGCTACTTGCAGAACTTCCATTAGCTCATTTTCAGCATGAGTAGGAGCACAAGGCCCATCCTCCATCTGCTGAGAAGTGACTACTTTCTGTGCAAGCTCACTATATTTAGTTGCAAGATCTAGGGGGCTCTTCAGTCTTTCATTTCCTACCTCTAGAGATACCACTTCCTTTTGCAGTTCTTCCTCTGAGTTCTGACACAAATTCAACATTTTGTTCACCATTTCCAATTCGGTGCTGTCCTTGTGGCCTGCTGCTAGAGACTCTGTCACAGTTTTTAAGGTAGGATCAAACTGGCTAGCTGAGAGAGACTGCTCTGCTGAAAGACTGGGGTCCTCCTGTGGCTCTGGCAGAACTACTAGCTTTATAGTTTGAGTCTCTTCAAGCAATTCAGAATCTAAAGTCAAGGACTCGGAAGAAGGAGATCTCTCAAGCTCATTTATTAAAATCTGAGAATCCTCGGCTGGAAGGGATGGAGTTGAAATACGACATACATCAAGAGAAGGCGTGTCAGGGTTGTGCAAGAAATGGGGCTGCTCAATACTGGCTACTGGAGCATCCAAATGAGAGGTTTGTTTTCTGAGATGCTCAGAGGCCACGCCTCCTTCTTCTTGCCGTAAGATTTCTGGTGGGGAAGTTTGGTGAGAGAGCTCCAACTGAATGGGAAGAGATGTTTCATAAGGGAGCGCTGGCTCTAAATTATGTGTTTCGTCTCCATTTTCACCATGTATCTCCAGGACATCAAGTGTAGTCAAGTGAGGCGTCTCACTAACAGAGGATATACTGATATCTGGTGCTCCAGGGCAGAGGAGAGGTGCTTCAAGGAATGCTGGAGGGAGCCCTTCTGAAGCGTTAATGTTTGTCTGTTCAGCTCTGCCTTCTTCTGCATCTCCTGGTTCCATCTGCTCCATCCCTACTACTGTTATGCAACGGTCTGCAGTCTCCTGGGAGAGTGGCTGGTCAACAGTTTCTTCAGCTGCTGCGGATTCCAGCTTTTCTAGAAACTTCTCATCCTTGTTGGAAGCGCCCTCTGCTTCCTTGGTGGTTTTCTTGCCACTGTCCTTGGCGATTGTCTCTTGAGGCTTCTTTTGGGGCGACACCTGCTCACGACTGGAAAGCGCGTCTTTCTTCAGAAGCTTCTTGCCCGAAGGAGGCAGAGCTCTGGAAGAAGCAGCAAGGGCTCTCGGAGGAGTGGTTGGGTGGAGACTCCCACCGGCCACCTTGGCTTGAATTTGGGGCTTGCCGGGGTCTGAAGATTTCTTTGTTGCAAACCTGCTGTTCACAGGTGCATTCCTCTCTCTGAGATTTTGCTCAGGTTGTGATTTGGAGGCTGAGTGTTTGGGAGGCTTTAAGGCAGGTGTCACCTTCACAGAAGGGTTGGAGCTTGAAACCTTGGCCTTTAAAACTGTGGCAGCTCTAGAGGCATCTGGAGTAAGAAAAGACATCTTACATATTTGATTGGACTCGAAAAGCCTAACATGTAATCTATGCAGAATACCTGAAATCCCTCCAGCGGCCTAAGGCCTATTTCTAACTACAGCTGTCCTTCTGCTCTAGGGTTTCATATTTCCTGGCAATTGAACACGATCTTCCATTTTGGTATGGATTTGTTCACAATAATAATATAGTGGTCATGCTTCAGTGGTCATTGTCCCCTTTCTCAATGGGCTTACCAATGATGTAATTTTTCGTTCCTTGTACACAGCAGGCCCCAAATCTGTTTTGGAATAAGCTACAATTTTTAAAGTAGTTAACGCTTAGTGTGACTTCCCTAACTTCTCCAGATGTGGAATATTAACTATTCCGATCACTGTGGTTCTGCTAGCCAATTGTTATGACAGTTAGAATTCAGCACAATCTCAGAAGTCACACCAACAAAAGCTGCTGTGTGCTGACAAAAGCCCCTGGAAATGATGGAAGCTGAAGTTAAAAAAAAAACATTGGAAAGCATTAGGGGGAAATGATGAAATGGAAACATAGTTCTAATTCTCTAAGACAGAGGTCTCCAAACTTGACAACTTTTAAGACTTGTACACTTCAACTCCCAGAATTCCTCAGCCAGCAGAGTTGAAGTCTACAAGTCTTAGAGTTGCCAAGTTTGGAGACCCCTCCTCTAAGGGGTGGAAGAACCCCACCAAGAACTTACTAGGTGTGCTTAGTGAAGCTACCCTTTGCAGCCCTCTGATACTCCATTTGCAATGTAGATCATTCTGATTGATCTTAGAGAATTACGATCTTTGAATTGTAAAATAATGCTCTATGTTTTGAGAACTAAAATCACTGTATATATATTGGGGGGAAAAAACATTAGCCTGACCACTCCCAGTTACATGTATTATCTAATATTTCTAATATTTAATATTTAATATTTCTAATATCTAATATTTCTGGGAAGTATGACTTTTCCCACTGAGACATTGCAAAATCCAGGTTTTGGTACGGCACATGGGGCATTTGTGCTGTGACCACAGGCTATGTACCTCTCTGTGTTGCCAGAGTATTTTTCTGCTGATGTGCTGATGTGCCCTGACCAGCAGGTGGTGATGTTGGCTTACGTTTGCCCACATTCTTATCATTAGAAGCAGTTCTGTTTAAAGAGGATGAAGTTGAATTCTTTGTTCCTGGCAACCAAGTCCTGAAACAGACAGCAAACAATTATGCACATCAGAAAACTTTGTCCAAGCCCTTAGAAAACATAGAAGGCACACAATTGTCTCAGAAATCTATTGCCTCAGCACAAAGGCACTCGAAGCTTTTGTCAGTTCAGAGTCTATGAGCCAAGTTTATCCTGAAAAGTACCAGGTTTTATTACTTGCAGTAAAGAGAAAAGGACTACAGTTAAAAAAACAACCACCACCGCCTTCAATTATCTCAGCCATTAGATCAAGAACCAGACAGGATGTTTCCATTTTGGTTAGCAGCTTGAAATGTACTCCTTCTAGCCACCCACCTACCTCTTGCATCGGATGGCATCTTCTGGTATTAACTGGGGCAGGGGAGAAAAACACAAAATAGCCACGGAGCCATTTCCTCCTATTATTATTTTCAGTATCTGAACAGGAGTCATTTCAGATTCCCTACATATATTCTAACCTACCTTTATTCCTCTACTATTCACCCATTACCTCCTCCTTCCAATTTTTGCTGAGGCTAAAAATGTTTGAGATTGCAGCAATATAATTGGAGTACGTATTCAATTATCTTTGATTTGCAGCAAGTAGAAATCTTTATTTCCAACTGCATTCTCCAAGATTGGCATTTAAAGCTGGACTGAGATTTCTCACTTCTGCACTACTAACGTGTCGTTTAATCCAGCCTTTCCTAACCTGATGCCCTTTACATGTGTTAATTATCACTCCAGTTTTGCATACTGACTGAGAATTCTAACCTTTAATCAAAACATTTCTGAAAGATACCAAGTTGTAGGAAGGCTGAATTAGTCATCGATGGGCTTCTCTAAGGAATCCAAACGTGACTTCTTTATCAGAATGACGATTATGCTTTAGAGACCAAGAGGCTAAATGTACCACTAAGTTAGTGTTTATCCATTTATTTCATTTATATCTCACTTCAATCCAATTAAGAGATCTAATAGTGGTGCACAGATATACATATATATGACTAAATCTTTCAAAGTAAGAAATATAATAGAAAAACAAATATAAACAAACATAGCTAACAAAGGTGTCAATCCTCAAACATTATATGAAAAAGCTTTATTTTAACCTGTTTGTAGAAGGCCGTTCTAGGGAGAGCTAATCGAATTCTAACTAGGGTTAGAAAAAAATATTTCAAAAAACTGGTGTAAGAGAAGGAGTGGCAGAATAAGGGAGCGGAGTCAAAACAGAAATCCACCTATAGATTCTATGTACCACAAATTAAATCCAACCTCCCTTGAATTCCATTAACTCTTATCTACTGCAGTGCCAAAATAGTGCTAATCTTTAGTTGAGTCGATTCCTATGCATAGGCATGAGCAATAAATCAGTTTAATTGGAACTTCACATGTGGTCCTGCTGTCATTCCTGAAACCTGGTCTTCCTGCCTGAAACATTTTGCCTCCTGACCCTGGCCCCTTTCTCAGCCCTCTTTCAAACTATTGGCATCCCCACTCCCCCAATAGTGTGGACTACCTCCTAGATTCAAATAAGTACTTCTTCCCCAGTCACTCACAGATGCAGGAAAGACAAGCATCCAGCCCCCAAGTGGCAGAGGCTATCGCCTGGAAAGCATCCTATCCACTTTATTGTCACAGGCCAAAAGGAGTCCCACAAGACCGCAATATAATCCAAAAGGGTGGCTGTCAATTTCATTTGGACCAGGATGTGATCTAGTCATGGCTAAGGGATAATAGAAATTCCCTCTACATATGGACAGCTGCTTTGAGGTAAAATAAGGGCTACCATCTATCCTTCCGCATGTGTAGGGCCTAAAATTTCCTAGGATAACCTCACAATTGCCATGACCTCCTGGTCACAGAAGTTGAAGTCCTTCAGCACTGATAGGTGAAGGAACTCTCCATCATAAGCCTAAGAACAAATCCGTAAACTAATCCAGACATCCAGGAAAGGATTTTGGTGGCAGCACTGTGGCTGGTACATTAGTAACCAATCCAATCATAGGCATTCACACCCCACTCACTATTTGAGCCATAGTGACCTCAATTTATGTATAAGGTCTCAAGATAGATCAACACCAGCTTTTCTGTCCAACCATGGCCCCAAAATCCACCAAGGCAGATTTAAGATAGGGTGGCATTGCTGCCTTTGCTTAACCAATCATAGTTATTGACCAGACATGCCTGTTGGTCCACCACTAAGTCAAGAAGGAATGAGGACTTATTACAAATAGACATTAGTCTTAGCAAAGATCAGCAGCACTCCGGGCCAGGAACACAACAGTTCCAGCTCTCCTGGGCCCAGGAGAGTAGATCCCACCAAACTGAAGCCCATGCTTTGGAAGAGCTTATTCAGCTTATTCAATAGTTTTATCACTGATATATGTATGTGTGCTCCTCATTAAACTTGCAACTGCATCAGTGATACAATAACATACTATAGTACAGTACGCTTGTATACTAGACAAGCTATTTACCTTGTTATGCAGGCATTTCTTGGCTTTAACTACAATAAGCTGGCAGCCCTCTATTCTGCTACTAGTACAATTTACTCTTACTACATTAGTGATCTAAATACGCTTGTGACACTGTTTACGATGTTCTCTTCTTTCTTTCTAATGCTTTTAATTGGGGTCCTATCACATTGCTATGATGTCAGAGAGACCGTGTTACAATGGGCAGAGTGCAGGAGTAGCCCTGCAAAAATCCAGGCTTCTAACTAGATAGACATGACACACTCCTATGCTATAAGGACTGTTTTAATATGACACATGCAGATGCTTTCCATATATGTAACCTGACCTGTCTGAAGGAATACGTTATATTGAGGGACCAACAATTGCTCTCACTATGATTTCACAACTATTCCCTCTACCAAGACTCTGCTTTGAACCTCAAAAACCTGGCCTTTCTGCGCAAATCAGCACACTCAGTCAGAACATTTAAAATCCCAACTCTTTGATGGGTACATCTGAAACGGATACCTGGAAGTTTTAGTCTGTTCAGCTCTGCTGGGCTTTGTTGAAGGTGCTTTTGATGCTGATGGAAGAGGGAAAAAAAGGCAACAGTTTAACGATTAATTGACACATTGCAATGAACGCATGCAAGGATTTTCTAGTGAATGTAGAACAAGGGAAGTTTTCTTTTTCAGGATTAAACAGTATCCCGTGGCTTTTAGAGAAAATACAGAAGATGCAGCACCCTCAGAATCCAGCCTTACAGCTGCCACAATTTAATAGTGGGAATACTGCCCTGCCTGGTTACAAGTTAAAAAAAGCCATCCCAGTATCTAGTGATTTAGGAAAAGAGATCCATATAGTTCTTGCATTCTTCCCAACAGCTAGTATTTAGATGGCTCTCAATGCTTTTTTCTGAATTAAAAAAAAAAATCAGTAGTTTAGATCACTTAGTACACTTTGAAAAACATGACTAAAACCATCCTCAAATATGCTGAAAATGCATGAATGAACCAAGTCCAGGATTAATTATTCCATGCTGAAGAAACAGGCAAAGCATACCTATGGGCTGTGTGGTCACCTTTGGAGGTTTCTGCTGCACTTCCTTCTCTGTAGCTCTCTTTTCTGAAGTCTTCAACCCACTTGTCTTGTCCCCTGTTGCCTTTTTCATTGCCGCTCTAGCAGACAAGTTGTCAACGTTACTAGTCTTGGATGCCGGCTGCTTTGGCTGCTGCATGTTGGCCTTCCAAGCAGTTCCATTTCCAAGTGTTCTGGAAGCTCCACTAGGAACTGAAGGAGAAGCAGCTGCAGAGGCCGCTGGCTGCTTCTTGTTGGGAACCTTGTTTGCTGGCTGGGGGGGCTTGCTGGCCTTTTGCTTGGCACCAGGGGGACAAGCAGTTGGCACACTCTTCCTAGCAGTTGCCCCCCCACTGGTCTGCGGAACTGAGGTTCCGCTAGCAGCTCTGCCACCGTCATCCATCTTCACCTTCACAGGCTCCAGGTGGGCGATAGGTGTCTGAATGGCTTGGCAGGTTGCAGTTTTCACTTTGGTCCTGAAAAAGAGAACTACCAAGGTGACCCAAACCATACCTATTGCTGGACCCCCAAGAAGACTCTGTGTAAATAGAGGGAGGGAGGGAGGGAGGGAGGGAGGGAGGGAGGGAGGGAGAGAGAGAGAGAGAGAGAGAGAGAGAGAGAGAGAGAGAGACTAGCTCCTTACTGATTGTAGACAATAATACTGGATGCAAATAGGATTGAAGTCAGTACTTACAAAACACACAATTGTTTTCACTGACACTATCCTTACTTTATTGTCACAGACTTTTACAACAATAGTCATATCTGAAAGGACCTACAATGACAATAGCTAGGGTATCATAAAACTCACCTTCTATGGAGGTCACGTCAGAGCAAAGAGACTTTCAGCTTGCTGTGGCAAGGGTAAACAACCTCATTCAGACCGCACGCTGCCAGGAGCTGCATTCCAAAAAAAAAAAAAAAACCAGATGGACCCTGGTCAAAGTTCAGTTAAAAAGACTGAAATTAGATTCCTATACACATTGTTGATTCATTTTCATCTAAGACATATTCACACTTCTGTTCTCAAGTATTACTGCCTATAAAAAGAACATCGCAAAAAGAAATTGACACAGCAGTCCTATATACAAACACCAGTGTGTGGGGGGGGGGGGGGGGGGAAGTAGGCAAAGCAGTTATCATTCTGAATCAGGAGGCTTTGCTCTTCCAGACTCTACAATGTTGGTGATGGAAGGGCATAAAGGAGATTCTGAGTGAGAAATGGGTGCTTTTCTTCTCTCTTATTGTTACCACAGAAAGCATTGATGCATATTTATCTGAGAGGGTCGGCATACAAATTTAACAACTGGCACACAACACAAGTTCCCTAGGTTAGTGTTGATCTTACTTTTATGCCCTTAGTATCTCTGCTAATTTGTGAATTATTACCTATGAAATAAGACAGAAACATCACTAACTACAAGAACCAGTAACTATTAGATTTAGGCTACACCTTGAATGCAGAAGGGGTCCAAGCCACTAACACAGCACATGCACGTACACTACTTGGGCCAACAACTACTTATACACAAACAGAGGCATCCCTGCAAAACTGACAATAATACACCACATTTATATCCTATCTTTCCCTTCAACACAAAACACTCCAAGTGAGGGTTTAGCAGGACTAGTAGTCTCTAATCTAATTTGGTTTGAGGGTATAATAAGCAAGGCTGCAGTTATCACAGAGTCATGGAAGGTCAGGGTTGGAAGAGATCACCCTTATCCCATGCAGTCTTTCATCCAATGCATGAATCAATAACTGCAATACCCCCAAGGGAAGGTTATCCAGCCCTTGCTGAAACCCCCCCCCCAAGCAATCTCCTCCTTTTCTTAGCAGCTTAGGAAATTTGTCTTGATAACCAACCAAAATCTATTGCCATATAATTTAAACCATTCTCTCATGCCATGTCTTCTGGACCAACTTTACCCTTTCCATATTCTACATGACTGGCATTCAGATATATTTCTACATACTCTTGTCATCCTTCACTATACTCCAATTTTCCTACCTACGTGGAACACTTTTCATTCGTGTTGTATGGCATAGCGCCTGGATCTCTGAGACAACACTTATCTCCAATAGTTTCCGCCCACCCAGTGCACTGAAGCAGAGCAGGTGCACTCAGGTCTCCTCCATTAAATGTGGTTATCTTGTGGGACTTACAGCCCCCAGCCGCTAAAACCATCCCTGCCTCCCCCCCCCCCCCCCCCAAGAGATAAGGATGGTTCTCTCTCTCCTGGGAGTCTGGAAAGCCTTAAAAACCTGGCTCTGGTCCCAGGCCTGGGGTTGACAGTTTTCATTGTTAATGGCTCCTCTTTTGTTTTGTGGGTTTTGTTTTGTGAATATTTTATCCTGGGCTGCCTTTTGATTTAACATTTCTCCCCATTTTTATGATTTTTAAATATTGTATGTTGCCCAGAGTCCACTAGAGTTGCACAGCCAATAAATTTAAATAAATAAATATGTTTCTACTGAAATTTATTTTGTGGATTTTGCCCAGTGTTCCATTGTGCAAGATCCCATTCAGTCTTGAAATTGTCCTCCAAAGGCTTTGCTACCGTCTAATATCATCTGCAAAGATAATACAATTTTTAAATCATCTAAATAATAATTATGTTCAATAGCACAATGCCTAAAACAGAGCCTTGTGGTATGCCATTCAGTATTTCCTTTGATTTATAAATGTTCAGTAGCTCTAGTATCCATTAAACAGTAACATGGTCCAGGCAACATTGTCATCTACTAGTTCATGGGAAATTATGTTGAATAAAGTTGTCTAGTTTTACCAGAATCTCTCTGGCCCATCCTCTGGCCATAGTAAAATATTTTTCAAAAAGAATACAAAGGGTTGCTACCACTAATAGGTGATCTAGCAATTCTCATGCCAAACCAAGTACCCAAACTCAGCCTGGCAACCAAAGGGCAACATTTATTACGTCTAGGACTATCCATAGGAGAACTACACCATCCCTGGTTTTCTTTATTTTCCCCAATTCTCATCTGAGTGATCAGCCTCATGGTCTTGTCAGCCTGCATTATACAAGCATTTTGAGGTAATTCATAGCAACTGTTAAGTACAGCACACAAGAAAAGAAGGCTTCCTGATCTTCATGCTGTGTGGATGTCTTGGGAATGCACCTCCCACGATTTCCAGCCAACCTGGCTACTTCCAGAGAAAGGATGTTGCCAAGACTGAAGGAAACTGCTGTGTGAAAAGGCATCTGGCAAGTGTACCAGTGACAGAAGGAAACCGGTTATGTAGTTAGAAGACAGAAATTTAAGGAAATTCACAGGAGTGCCTCCTCCATGTGCAGAATGTACGTGCAGGAGTTAAGAGAACATCAAAGCCTTTTATACACATAGTAAACCAGGCTCACAAGATAGCATACCACCCCACTTCCTTGATCGAAAATGTATTTCATTCCCTCCTCAGCCCAGCTGTTGAAATAAGTTTGCTTAGCTATCCTTCAACCATGACCTTTTCGCAGATTTGATCCAGAAAGGGCAACGAGAGGCCCTTGTAGCTTAGAGTTGCGAAGGGTAACACAGATAATAGAATACTTGGGAATAAAAAGGGAGGACGCTGTTATGGTTCCATGTGCAGCTGGAACTGGAGGAGGAGAAGACACTCATGATTGTTCTGCGAGATAACTGGGAGCTAACAGACAATTTCCGTAGGAAAGAGATAAGTTGAGAACAAGTTAATTGTAGGTTCCTATTAACATTTATGGTGAGAACAGAGAGGCAGGAAAACAAACATCACTGTGGTCAGAGACCTCATGATTGATGGCATTTTACTTGATTTCTATAGTCTGTGGAGAGCCTCAAGTCACCCAGGTCATAGTTCTCTCAAAAGTGCTTTTTCAAAAGACAACTGGAGTTGTTTTTTTTTCTTCCTTGAGGGAGAAAATGTTTTGTTTCACATCCAAGAGACTTCCATCAGTTGTGATGGTGTTGGTGGAGGGGCATGGAAGGCTAGGATAGGTATGATTTCTATATCCACCCTATTTCTATAGTCTCAACAACTTCAGGATTGAAGAAGCTCCTTGAATGAGAAGCAAAACATCTTTAATATAATAACATATTACAGTACAATCCATCCCTTGTGTATTATACTCGGCTAAGCGTTACAGTCAGTGTTGGATGTATATTTTGTGTATATTCGTAGATATTGCACTCTCAAATTGCAAATGGAGACGTGGGTACTCTTTCTTATCTTCATTTTTAAGTGCTTTGGTTTTATTGTATTGCAAACAGTTGCTAGGGTGCATCCACGGTTTCGTTGTGCTTGTACAATGACAATAAAGTTCTCTAATCTAATCTTCAAGGAAAAACAAAGAAAGTCCAGTTGCCTCTCGGGAAAAAAAAGCACCTTTGGGACAACTATGACCTGGGTGACTGAGAATCTCCATAGACATAGTCTCAACAAGACACTCTGGGCAGCGTACACCACAAAAAAGGTATTAAAAACTACACTGGAGGCCCCAAGCTTGGCACATAGCCAGGGCTTCAAGACCAGCAGGGACAGGTGGGCTTATCCTAATCTCAGAGGGGAGAATGGTGCTGCAGCAGAGAAGGCAGCTCTCCTGGTCTCTGCCAGCAGATATTCCTTGACTGACAGGACCTATAACAGACTGAGCTAGACAGAAAGAAACCACTAGGAGAAGATGATGATGAACCTTTAGGTCAGAGGTCTTCAAACTTGGCAACTTTAAGACTTGTGGAGTTCAACTCCCAGCATAGCTGGCTGGAGATTTCTGGGAATTGAAGTCCAGAAGTCTCAAAGTTGCCAAGTTTGGAGACCTCTGCTTTAGGTAATCCATTCCCAAGTCACGAAGGGCTTTAAAAGTGATAACCAACACCTTGAATTGCATCTGGAAGCAGACTGGCAACCAATGCTGCCCAAGCAGCAGGGCTGTTACATATGTTGAATATCTGAGACCATTTGCTACCTGTGCAACTGCATTCTGCACCACTTGGCTGCTTCCACATGCTCTTCAAGGGCAGTCCCATGTAGAACACATTGACAATGTGGCCTGGACCATGTTACTGTTTAATGGATACTAGAGCTATTGAACATTTATAAATCAAAGGAAATTCTTTTTGGTTTCCTTTGCAAGAATCCATCCTAAGCTCACCCAAGGCTTAGTAGAGTGCTTTGGAACATTTTTCCTGCCACACTTTATTTGCACAAATAAAATAATTTAATCTCTATTCTCTGTGTTAATTGGCTCTGCAAACTAGGTCCAAAAGCCCACTTGGGAGAACACAACTACTCAATGCCATGAAGGAGCAGTGCAACAGTGTGTGCATTTGCTTTTCTTCAATTGCCTGTACTAAAGAGGCAGCTGAATCATCTCATCCATTTGTCTGGTTCTTGCAGTGGAAACAACTCCCAAGCATTAGCTTTCTCTTTTTTTTTGAGGGTGGTGGTGGTGGTGGAGCCGATGCCAAAACAGACCCAGTAAAAGGATTGTTCAGTGCAAACAGAGTGCATTTAGTAGATCTCTTTCTCTGCAACACCATTTTCTTACACTTAAGTCAACAATAAATTGCAATATCTGTGTTTCTTCACATGACCTTCTTGAAATAAGTTTTATAACCTTTCCCATCATCTGTTGCCAACAGTTCCAATTGGAAACCATTTTCTCTTTTCTTCCACTATCTGAAATCGATTTTTTGAACATTGCCTCTTTTCCATCACCCATCTTTCTTGACCTTATCAATGCTTTTTTAAAATCATTTTGTTTCTTTGGTTAACAAAGTTAGGGCAGCTTTTCCCAACCCAGTGTCCTCTAGACGTGCTAGCTGGAAAATAGGAAGTTAAAAGGTCTATCAGAAAAAAGCATCCATTTATCTGAACCATCAAGTTTTTTCTTCTTCTTTAGAGCAGCTCACATCATTTTAAGGACTGCTAATTCATTTAAAAGCCTCATTTTGCTTCAATTCTACTCAGCACATCATTAGTTATGGGCTAATAGCTTAGCTACTAGCCCTTACTTCAACTCAGAAGAGCAGGGACTCTATTTTTTTATTTGTAATACAAAATGTTCACACAACCCCAGCTCTACGGGTAATTTTAAGACTAGAAGAGCCTTTATATACGGTATTTCTCTCCCAGAAGAGCACAACTCCTTTGTTTAATGGAAGCTGTAAGAGCCCGTGTGAAGATTAATGATGTGATGAATGAGCAAATAATTTCGTTCAGCTTGTTTTTTTTTTAACTGGGGGAATACATGTGGTTGTTTTTTTTTTTTTTTAAAAAAAAAGATTTACCCAATAAAAAGGAGAGGAACAAAAAGAAAACCCCTCAACTATTCTTCCCAACAAAGCAGCATAGGGCGAGGCTGCCGCCCATTACCACCGTAGACCCCTCCCTAAACAAAGAAAATGGACCGGCGACCGCGCCTCTGACCCCCCCTCCATACTCTCAGTAGAGACTCCGAGAGATGGGGACTGTTCCGACGGTCAGATGCATCGTTTTTATTTCTCCGCCAAGTGTCTTCCACCGACCCCAATCCCCTTTTAGCACTTATCTTCTGAATGCCGTTCCTAAAACTGACCCCGGATCAAATCCAGCCAGCAAACCAGCCCACAAACGCAGGTGGCCAAAACAGACAAGCATCTTTTTCAAGTTCAGCAGGGCAGCAACCAAGGCAGGCATGGAAACTGACGGGGTTAAAACGCGGTTCTTTTTTCTCCCCCCCCACCCCCCGCCACGACGGAGTAGCCACAAAGGGAAGGGGGGAAGGGGGGTTCGTGCCCAGAAAAGACTCCGGATCCATTTCCTGACTTTCCTTTCGGCCGGAAGGCAAAAGAAGCCGTGCAAAAACTGCTCGGTTTAACAAAGCCGACAGCCCACCCAAAACAAGGCGCGGCTCTCGCTCTCTCTGCACCTGCAGGCGAGACGCGCGGCGGCCACCGCCTAGTTCTCTCCGCCACGCGTCCCCCGCTTCCCCACAAGCGACTCCCTGAAAGCGCCAAGCCGAGGGTGGGGGGGGGGGGGGTAGAGTCATCCAGCGTCCGCCCCGTCCCCCTCCCGCGTGCAGTTCCCTCGGTCCCGGCCGGGAACCGCCTCGCCAGCTCCGGAGCTTCGGCACCGTTCCCCCCCAGCCCAGCCCAGCCCAGCCCATGTGGACGGCTGTTTACCTCGCTTGCCGTGCGCCGAGGAGCAGCGCTAAACCGTTCGTGCAGCGCCAAGAGCGAGCCAACTCTAGAATTAGAGGCCGGTCGGTGCCGCTTGCTGGAGCCGGCGGCCGCTCGCACTGGGCGTGTGTGGAAAGGACGAGCACAGCGCCACCGCCGCAAAGTAGACATTGGGCGGGGGGTGGGGTGGGGTGGGGTGGGGGGAGCAGCAATGCCTCGCTCAGTTACCTGGCCAGCCAATGGCAGTGCCGCTTGGTATTTGGAAGAGATGATGTCATTCCCGCGAAGAGGCCGGGGCTGAGCTGATCGATTGTCTCCGGCTGCAAGAGGCAGTTATTGTACCGCTTGCCCCACCCCCCACCCCCATCCCAGCTAATGTGGCAGCTGGTTAATAGATCAATTCAGCCGTGGGGGGGGGGAGTGTGGAGGGAAGGGGAGAAGCGAGGGAGTCCATTAACCCTTTCGTTGCCGCAGTTCTTATGAGGCGACCTGTGAAGAGCCTTTAACCTAACCGCGGGGGAAATAGGGGTTCCCGCACCCGGGGACGTCGCGGCGGTCTGCGGCTGAGTGTGTGAACAGGATTCCTTCCCCAAGGAATCAGGCAACCCAGGCGACTTGGGTCCCTGTTTCTCAAGTTCCGAGATTAACTGGCCTCAGGGGTTACACTTGGGGGGGGGGGAACCCCACACCTCCCTGAAGGGGCAGAGCTGCGTGGGGAGGCTCTACTTTTCCGGAGAGGGGAGTTGGGGCTCGGCCGAAGAGCTCATCTGATAGGCCAGACGGGATCCTGGGTGAATCTGTATCCACGGACACCGTCACGCGTAAACTAGGCTCTTTTTAAAGTAGATATTCATCTAAGTTAATTCTCTAATTTAAAATTCCGTCATAAGAAAAGTGGCGTGTCCGAAACAACTCCCACCCTAAAGGCATTTCACGTAAGCAGCAGGTAATTTCAGATGTGCGGTTTCTGGGCTTCATTACAATCATGTTGTTGCATTCATAATATAGGAAAAAGTCGTTCATTGCGTGGTTACCATTTGATTGGTTATTTGCCATCAAGTCGTTGTTGACTCTTAGCAACCACATAGATATTCTCTGCATCCATTTGTCTCTCTAACCTGGTCTTTTAAGTCTTCCAACAGTAGCATTGCATACATTTAATTGATAAAACACCAAGTATTCCCTCCAGCTGAAAGGCAGCTTTAGCTTTGAACAGCTTTCAGGCTTTGATAGTTCTCTGAAAGAATCTGGGAAGAACAGCTGTACTTGATTATTTTCATAAGTCAATAGCTTCCTGTACAAAGACTAAGCCACTGTCATTTAGAAGGAGAGTTGTGTTGTCTTCCATTTCCCTCTTGCTGTATTTCTTTTTTATTCACACAAGTTAGAACCCCATAATGAAGCAAATGTCATAACTTAAAATTAGCCGAGAAGTTTTTTCTGTTTTTGTAACTAAAAAGTCTCCTTTGACTGAAACTCAAATCTTGCTGACTTTGTGAACATGAATGAGCATATAATGATCTTGGTAACAAGAGACAGAAATGGTTCACCACTACCTTCTTCCAAGTATTTTATTTTCAGCTTCCAAGTCTAGTCCCTGGCCAAGATTCATGGTAGCCTCTCATCCAGGAACTAGCCCTGCTATTCTGAGATAGTCAAATTTGGCTAAGGGCTGCCACCTGTTGTTACATGTTTAAAGGCAAAGGTAAACTGCTAATAACCTGCTACTGCTATTCTAAAATGGCAAGCCTACATTTACTACTCCTATATAGAATTTTTCACTTCTGAATTATTCATGTTCTCTCAGTGGCCTTCACAGGGCATTTCACTGATTTCAGGTGTGCTTTCAAAGCAGAACTTGAATTTTATCAGGAGATTTAATACTATTTCTCAAGAATTACATCTAAGGTTCATTATATCAACAATGCCAAAGGGATGAGATTCAACTGTTTTGCAAATGTTCCAATATTATTTTTACTTACATTACCTATGTTTCATTTTTCACATATCTTTTTAATGTAGTTTTCCCCCCATTGCAAACATTTGCACAAGAGAGTAGGCAAAATATGAGCAGAAAAAGAGTGAAATCACGCATCTTTGTAACCCAGCAGTTTTGGATGATTCTCTTTCTTTAAGGTTAGCAGAAAGGAATGTTGGAAGAAATATCCTTCTGGGTTCAGTTCCAAGTTGGGAAAAAGACACTGGAAACATGGAGGCTGTTTGGAAGGTTTAATGGTGGACAGGAGGACCACATGGCCTGGAGCTCCAGAGTAAAAAGGAAGGATGATCACCTGCTTCAAGGTGAAGGAAGAGATCAAGAAAAAGGGCTGATATGCTGAGAGTGCCTGGGTTTTATAACCTTTGTTGGGATTTGAATTGGAGCTTGTATTCTGATTGGTTGTCAGACTCCCATGGGGCCATGCAGGGGCAACTCTGTAGGCTGTCCTGAGCTCCAGGCTTGGTTGAGCCTTGCTGGATGATGATGCACTGAAAAGGGCTTTTGAGCAATTGCTATAGCTTTACCTGGAGATCTTTGTTATGTAAAGTATTCTGGCCCAGGCCTTAATGGCCCACCCATTAACAAAGGTGGGGGAGGAGCTTCTACTTCTGAGGTGAATTTCTGCTTCTGAGTTTCTATTTTTTTTTAGAGGAAATATTCTGCCTTTTTAATATTTCCTAGGATATGTCAATTTTCTAGGAGAGGTGTGGGTGCCAACTTCCTACAGGAAGACATGCTAAACTGAATGTTTCCCCATCACTGAATGTTTCCTCCAGCCCAGCCTAAACTTTACAATAGCTGCCCAATTGTTTATCTTAGAAAATATCCTGATCTTCTTTTATAAATATATATTTATATATAATATCAATATTTATTAATACTTTTATACTATTTAGTAAAAAATAAAAGTATTTATTTTTGTTGACATGGCAAAACAGAAGAATTAATGAAAATGTCTTCCAAAATTGCTTCTTAAAATTATCTCATTGTTTGGAAGAATGTCCAAAACATTATATAAATATAACATTATATCTGACCATCCTTCAACCTTGCCTAAAAATCTGTCAACTCTTGCAGCCTATTGGAAGAAGAGAATCATTGAGATATTGCCTCTACAAGGCCAGGGAGCAATATCACAGGAAGTGAAGCCGCAGGATTTATATTACTGTAACAGGGTATAATATAATAGTATAATTACTATAATATAACAGATGTGTTCTATGCTATAATTCCTATTGTAATTGGAGAAGGGAGGTTGGTTATGGGAAGAAAGTAAATTGTCTGCATGCAAAGTCAGGACAAAGAAAGTTGGCGCCTCTGTGTTATGATAAGTGAAGCTGCCTACTAAAACACAGAGAAAACTTTGCTGAAAGCCTTTCATTTGTTTTATTTCCTCTTTATGATTCTTGAGATAGTTTTGATAGCAAAAAAATAATTTTCACAAGTTCTATTAGCAGTCTTAACCAGATCTCAGTCCTAGAGTGAATACTTAAGAGTTGTAGGTCTTTCCTGAATGATCATGGAGATCAAAAAACAATATCATAATTATAGTTTAGATAAAGAACTCAGCAAAGAATAGTATTTGGGTACCTGGATCATAGACTGAAAATCCTTGGTAATCTGCTGTTCAATTGAAACCAGAACTTTTCGCGTTGGGACTAATGGATAGATAATTAGAAAAAAAGTTAAAAGGTTGCTTTTACATACAATCACTGCTACAAAATTATTATATGCACAAAAATGGAAAGACTCTGAAATATTCACAGTTCAGGAATGGCTGGTGAGGATGACAGACTTTTGAGATCAAGAAATTTAGTTGCCTAGCTAGGAAAAAGACAATAACTATATTTGTGACTGGAAACCACTTATGGGCTTTTTGCTGAAACAAGAAAAAAATGAAGTTGTGATTTATGGATTTGATGATTGGAAAGATAAAACTATAGAAAGAAGCAAATTCTGCTGTAATCATAGAGAGAGGGTATAAAGGTACTTGCAACAGCTATTAAGAAAATCAGAAACTTCTTTATAACGTTGTCTTCTCTATTTCTTTCTTTGCACATTTTCACTTCCTTATTTTTCCTTGTTTTCATTATTTTTCCTCTCAAAATTTGTATTGTTTTTATTTTAAAATTCCTTTAGTGTTTATATGTGTGTGTGTGTGTGTGTGTGTGTGCCATCTTTCCCAATCTCTTCATAATCCAAGAAGAAAATAAAAGAAAAATATGTTTTTAAAATCACAATTCATAAGTGATTTACCCATGTAAACATTATCTGTTTACACATGTTGGTTTGCATTTAGCATGTAGGGTTGCTCTGAAATTATCTTCACAGAAACTCTTTGAGGTGAAGATAATGTTATTTACCCAACCTCTATCTTCATCCAACTGTTTAATCATTATACTAAATGAACAATGAGGGACAAAAGAAACATTGATCTCTGTAGATTTTACCAGAAAATAATCCTGCTGTGATTATTCTTTTAAAAATAGATGTCGGGTTACAACCTCAACTCATTCCTATGTTTTTATCATGTTGACTAGAACTGACAGGATCTTGATTCAACATTTGATGGACCACATTTTCCCCAGCCTAGTCTTTTCCAATTATTTTTCCAAAATTAGGAAAAGATTTAAAGAATACTGGTAATTGTAACACAATAGGGGACTGTAAACATGGTTATTAATAGTGTTGGGTAGGGGTGTGCTCCAATAGTATTGATCCTTCTAATCTCCAGCTATGTCAGCTCATAACTATGTTTCCTTAGAAATAGGGTCTGTGGGCCTAATTTACCAGCACATGTGTATAAGTGCATGTCTGCATTCTGCTTAGTACACAGCAAAACCTACCTAAAGAAATGCAGCAAAATGAGTCCCACAAATGGAGGGCTAATAAACAAAAAACAAAAAACTCTGTTGAACCTGCATCCCTGAAGCAAACACATTTAAATCTAATTTCCAAAACTCCGCACAGGGTTTGGCTGAATAGTATGCAAAATTGCCTTTGAATATTACAGGTCAGGAGGAATGCTTTACTTGGCAATACTCATCAGCAGGTTTGTTTGTTTTTCCAAATGGGCGTTGTTTCAACAATTATGCCTCTGTCTTCTGCTGCTGTGCTTCCAGATCCTGGGGGAATTACTTATTTATTCAATACCTGTTGATGTTTTCTGTAAAATGAGGGGGAACTCAGGGGTTTATCTGGAAGGAATCAGGAATTCCCTTGCTCTGCTCCAGATATTCAGAAGTATTTTCAGTGGTGGGATTCAAAAAAAATTACTACCAGTTCTGGTGGGCGTGGCAGGGGAAGGATACTGCAAAATCTCCATTCCCTCCCCTCCCCACTAACCTGCTTTCCAGCTCCGTTCTCCTGTGCAGAGCAACAAAAGAAGACCCAGCCGATCAGCTGGGACTCAGGAGGCAGAGAATAGATAGGGGCAGGGCCAGTCAGAGGTGGTTTTTGCCAGTTCTCCAAACTACTCAAAATTTCCGCTACTGGTTCTCCAGAACTGGTCAGAATCTGTTGGATACCACCTCTGAGTATTTTACTTCTCTCAATTTTCTTCTTTAAGGGGTTGTATATCTTCCACCAAAGGGCAGTGGGAGAGACATGACAATGGATGGACTCCAGCAAGAGTCCGAAAGCTTGGCAAACTAAAACTCTGGTCCCAGTGACCGACTCAGATTGGATCCTGCAGCATTATCCTGCGACACTTATATTTGCCTTCATTCGTGGACATGACAATGTATAGAATTATAGCCATATAATCTTCATTGAAACAAAGGATCAGCATAAGTTTGAATAAAATATATTTTAAAATAGCAGAAGCATTCCAAATAAGGCCAGGTCCTGCCTGTTCCCTTACAGATTTGGGAGGGGAAAAAATCCAAAGTATAATTCCAAAGCAAGTAGCATAGCAATGCTCATTCCCCACAGCCCAAGAATAGTCAGCTACTTTTACTATAACCATCTCTAAAGTCATTTTGAGAGAGTTGCAGATTCAGAGTTGATGGTTCCAAGAATCAAAAACATGCTGGTACCTTCCAAGTGACTCTTACTTTTTCCTTAATTTGAAGCCCTACAATGAAAGTTTTTTTTTTTTTTTTGAGGACTGCCACATAAGCCACAGATCAGCCATGTGGTGCCTGCACTCACCATGGTATGTGGCCTCTGCTCCCAACACACACAGTTCATGGGATCCCTAAACCAAATAAAAATTAGTTTTTCATCTTAAAATAAAAGGCCAAAATAAAGATCAAAATCAGCAATAATACAGTTTCACAAGGTTTTGTAATCTCAGTAGATCTGGGCTGTGTATATATGTTCATGTGTACACCTTACACAGCCCATCCTGGAAGACCTTTGTCTCCACCGATTGAGAACCATTGGTGGTTCCACAATCTCTTGCCACTATTCATTTTGACTTGTAATTAAGGTGGAATACATTTAGGGGACATCAGATGCCTACAAGTGATCAAGACAAATCCAAGTCCATAAGATACATCCATACCATTGTCTGTCTCTGGCAGAAGATTGTTTTGGAAGCATTATATCAAGCCCATTTTGAGTATAATTTTGAAAGAGCCGTATCCTGTTTCTCTGCTACAGAGCTTTCTATCAAGCAGGAAGGGTCATAAAACAGACTAAAATGAGAAACGCTGAACTATCACTGTAGCAACTCGAAGATTAACATAGGAATAAAAACTTTGCATCTAGAAGGTAATGCACAGAAGGCTTCATTATGAAGCTAAATAGCCATCGCTCCAATCTATTATTGAAGCTTTTCTTTATGCAAAACAAAATAAAGATTTTAAAAATCCATAAAATAATCTTCAGAGCAGAGAGTACTTTGCTGCACGTATAAATATAGGCTTTCTTAACTGTTCCAAAATGTTTCAAGTCCCTTCTAATACTGTGCCCTGGTTTGTTGGTTTGTTTTCAGCATTCCTTTTGTTGTTCACCAGGACCAGAATGGGAAATAGGATGTTTTTTGTTTTGTTTTTTAAGTGCTTTTTGGCTCAATCGTTGATTGGAAAACGGACAGTATCTCAAACGCTGCTTTGTTATACATCTCTGCTGCTGCAGCCCAACACAAAATTCTTTGTGCAACTATCATCATTGTAGAAGCTTTTTAAACCAGAGATTAAAATGGGTGCACATATAGAACAATCCTCTTTCAACTCCATTTCAACTCATTTTAAAACCATCAAGTAATTTTGTTTTTCCTCTGTTTGAGATCTCCCTCCAATGAATGTGAAGCTTAAAAGCTAGACTAGCAACCAACAGCCTAGTAGCCTAACAGAGTGCAAACTAGAGGAGATGGAAAGTAGACCATGAATGAGCAGTGTATACGGATTTCCCTTCCTGGGGCTCCTTCCTGGAAACATCTTGCCATTAGGGGGCACTGTGGGCAGTCAGGAATGTAGCCTTTGGATGTAAAGATGGGCAAACTAGCAAACCCGTTTAAACTGAAGGACAAGGAGGAAGCAAACTAAGGAGCAGAAGTAAACAATGGTGAGATAAGGGAGAGGAAGACCCAACCAGCATCTCTTTCTGGCCAGTTGGTCAGAAAAATCAGGGGGGGGGGGGGATACATACTTTTGTTATCTGAGTTTTGTTTCCCATCTCCTTTTCATTCCTTATTCATTAGATTGCTCTAAGGTTTTATTGCCAGATCCCAAACTCATTCAGAATTGTGGCTCTTTTGAGAGACAGCTTATTCCACTATAGTTCATACTTATCTAACTTAAAATGTACTATTCCCCCCCCCCCCCCCATTCTGGGATCTTGAAAATGTCAAAACTGCCCAGTTTGGGATTTAGCAACCTGAACCACAGACCCCCCCACCCCACCGCAGCTACCAGTAGTGCATAATGCTGCGCTTCCTCAAACTTTCGAGCATGAGGGCCATGAAATAAAAAATCAAATCAAATCAGAAGTCTTTGATCTTCTACTACCATAGTAGCTTGAGACTCAGTTCCAGCCTGAGCTTGGCTGGACTGAGTATAGAGAGACTGAAATCCGTGCCATTCGATCCGTTCCCACTGGATAGCCATGCTCCCAACATAGCCCAATGCATTTTCCAAATACCGAAGGGTGAGGCCATTTCCAAATGCCGTTTTATCTTCCAGATTTGCATTCAGGGAAGCAGAGCAACTACAGCCTGTCTTAGCTTCATGGATCAAGCAGGAGGGGGAAGGGCCTGGATGATCCAAAGTAATCCACCAGAGCCATCACCGGTAGACAGGTTGGCATGCCCTGTCATTCCAGGAATTTGTGGATGTCCCCATTCAGCTGATACTGGGGTCCCGTGGCAGCTTCACTCAGCAGCGGGCAGTGAGATGCCCCACACTGGCAAGTATGGATCATCATGACTTTCTTGGTAAAACTGCTCCCATCAGGACAATGGAAGGGTACATTTAGTGTACGAGTGCGCAGAGGTACACAGCAGCGGCCATCCAGGCAGGCCCCACAGAAACTGGGCTGGTAACGACGTGGGCTCTTGCAACCCGCATGACTGAATCTCACGGGCTCTTGCACTTTGTGCGTCCTCAGACATTTCTTGCCTTTCTAAAAAAAAGGGGGGGGGAGAAGGGGGAAAGGAAAGTATTTAATGCTACCCATCTAGTCCTCTCTCGGGCCCAGACTGCTATGAATTAGTACAGCTTTCCCCACTGCATCAACTTATTTAAAACTGCCTGCAAACAGGGCCAGTAAAACTCTTAGATATATTGTCCCAAATATCCCTGGAGAAGATTAAACTACAGACCATTTAATTAGGGTGTCTGAAGTCAGAACCACAGACCAGCATTAGTTAGGGAATGCTGACTTCAATTATTAGATACCCCATTCCTTACCCAGAACCTGGCTACAGGAAACTCATATTTTTTTATTAATACCATGTTTCTCATATAATAAGGCCGGATTTTATTTTTTTTGAGCCCCGAAAAAACGGCTAGGACGTCTTTTCGGGAGTGAATTACTTTCTCCCCTCCGCGCACCCTCACCGAGGGTGCCTTGCCGGCAGCTATGCCTCGCCACCAGCCACTCCTAACGGGCAATCATGGTGGAGCACAGAGGGCTCCTTTACCCCCACCAAGCGCTGAAAACCCGGGTCAGCGGGCGGGCAGGGATGTCTGCCGGCAGCGTTTCAGCCGCTTCTCAGGCCTCTGTAGCTTTCACGGTTCCCACCACTGCTAGCGCCCCTCTCGCCAGCGCTGTCTCCAACAACAGCATCTGAGTCGCTCCTGCTTTTCCCCAGTCCCCGTAACAACAGGAAAAAAAAAACATTTTGAGGTACATGGGAGCGCCGCACGCTGCATTTTGGTTTAATCCCGAGCAGCTGGGTGGGCGTGAGAAGAGCCGAACGAGCATCTCTGCTGCTGCTACCCTTGGTGCTCCAGCCTCGGGCTCTGCAAGTTTGCAAAAGTCCCGGTGCGCAGCCTGTTCCTGCATTCCAAGCGCCCAGCGCTGTCTCCAACAGCGGCAGCAGCAGCGGGAACCGTGGAAGCGTTTCAGCCGCTTCTTGGGTGGGGGAGCCACCTCTATAACTTCCACGGTTGCTGCCGCTGTTGTTGGAGACAGCTGCAGCTCGGCCTGGGCGCTTGGAATGCAGGAACGGGCTGCGCACCGGGACTTTTGCAAACTTGCAGAGCCCGAGGCTGGAGCACCAAAGGTAGCAGCAGCAGAGACGCTCTCTCGGCTCTTCTCACACCCACCCAGCTGCTCGGAATTAAACCAAAACGCAGCGCGCGGTGCTCCCAGGTACCTCAAAATGTTTTTTTTCCCTGTTGTTACGGGGACTGGGGAAAAGCGGGAGCGACTCAGACGCTGTTGTTGGAGACAGCGCTGGCGAGAGAGGCGCCAGCACCGGTGGGAACCGTGGAAGCTAGAGGCCTGAGAAGCGGCTGAAACGCTGCCGGACATCCACGCCGACGCTGCCCGCCTGCTGACCTGGGTCTGCAGCAAAGGCGCTTGGTGGGGGCAAGGGAACCCTCTGTGCTCCACCATGATTGGCCGTTTGGAGCGGCTGATGGTGAGGCGTAGCTGCCTGCGGGGCACTCCTAATGGCAAGTTCCCCCCCACCTCCCCCCCAATTTCGCATGTTTTAAACGGCCTAAATTTGGGGGGAGGGGCTTAATTTCATTTTATGCCTAGAAAAATGCTGGGTCTTCCTATTGGGGGGGGGCGTATTGTTGGAGAAACACGGTATATACAGTACTTAATATACACATTCTGATTTCCAGAAACCGGGTTATAATTGTAAGGCCTCTTCCCCATTTGGACTGCAACTCTTGTCAACTCCACACAGCATGATCTATGGCTAGGATCAAAAGGGAAGGCTGCAGTAACCAACACTAGCCCTCCTTTTCTTTTGGTTCTGCCATCTCACCTTTAGCTTTGAAAAATCAGGCTGCTCACAGGGCCTGACCTGACACAATCGGGTTTCTTTGATCAGCTTGCATTGGGGATTATTGCTGTTGATGCGGGTAGAGATGCCAAAACCACAACTCTTAGAGCACGGGGACCAGTGTGTGGTCTGGACCAAGCATTTGCGCTCTTGCTTTGTATCCTGATCCTGGAAGAATGGTCTCCATGCTGAGGAGAGAGAGAGAGAGAGAAATCTCATTACTTCACCATCATAGGGATCCCAAGGGAGACATGAGCAAAACAACATCCCAGCAACTGGGATGACTGCACACAACAAGATGCTGTTGGTGGACCAGTAGTGGGCAGCCCTTGGTGCACTGCCGGTGAGTAGCTCAGGGCTGGGCACTTTTGGAAACTGAGCAATTATTTAGATGCTCAGATTTGTCCAGAGAAGTTCTTCTACCAAGAAGAGCCTCTGGCAGTTCTGCTACTTCACTGGGTATTTCATGAAGAGGTCAAAGCAAACTGTGCATCAGATGGTTATAGCATAGAAAACCGAAGAAAGAGGAAGAAAGAAAACAAATCTGAGTTCTAGAGTTCGGGTACCAACTTTTCTGTGTTTAAAACTTTGGTGACTGAGCAATGTATCAGGTCAGTGGGGCCCACCTCATATCTGCCTTCCTCTTCCACACTCCTGTAATGTTAAGAATGTCTGGGGACATTTCTTATTTCTATTTTGCATGGAAAATTAAACAAGAGTCAGGGCTGACACTTACAGCCATGTTTTTTTCCCCTGCTGTCCTTCTGCTGGGAAGAAGTTATATTGACATAAATTGTGTTGCTCCCACCAACTACGGCAAGAGTGTCAAACTGGAGGCCTTGAGGCCGGAACCAGCCCGTGGGGTGCTTAGATCTGGCCCGCCCTGGAAACAGCAAAGGACCGGCCCATGGTGCCTCTGCCAACAAAAATGGTGTTCAGGGAGGCTGCACCCTCTGATTTCACTGGCAGAGGGCTTCAGGAGGCCATCACAGTTGAAAATGGAGCCTCAATGAGTGATGTCGAGCTGGCCATGCCCCTCTGCCCCCAGGCCCCACCACCCAAGATCAAACACAACCCTGGTGCGTCCCTCAATGAAATCGAGTTGACACGGTATCTTCACCATGTCTCAGCAACATGAATGGGGAGTGCTACTGTTGCCCTCATGCAACTTTCAACACAAAGTAGATTTCAGGACAGTGACTGGGGGATTTCTTGCTAGTTTTTCCAGAAGGAAAACCAGTCACCTATCCTGAACATGCGTGTGCAGAGTGCACTGATAAATCAACATCTAATTTTTATCATTCGCTACATGCTTCTGACAAACTTAAATCAAACTCCCAGGAAATCCATAATACTCTATGAAGCCTGCGATGGTCCAAATATTTATTTATTTATTGAATTTATATTGCCGCTCATGGCGACTCGAAGCGGCTTGCAGAATGTAAAACCATATTTAAAGTAAAAAACACCAAAAACTAAACAAAAAGAATCAAATAAATTAATAAAGTACAATAGAACAAAATCTGGAAAAAAATAAAAAATCACACACCCCCAATTCCCACCCCCTGCCCTGACAACAGCAGATTACACGAGCCATTTGATGGGCTCTATCCTGCTCTGGTTTCCCCAGGCCTGCTGGCAGAACCAGGTCTTCAGTTCCTTCCGGAAGAGTATCAGAGAAGGGGCCATTCTAATCTCTGGGGAATGATGTTCCAGAGAGAGGGAGCCACCACGGAGAAGGCCCTTCTTCTGGGCCCCACCAGGTGTATCTCCCTCAGGGATGGGACCCGCAGCATTCCCTGCCTCCCTGCTCTGATGGGTCGGGTAGATGTGACTGGCAAGAGACATTCCCTCAGGTAATTTGATCCCAAGCCATGAAGGGCTTTAAAGATAACCAATAACCACAAGATGGCAGCATCTATGAAACCATTCTTGAATGGTAACATACATTCTAGGCTACATCAAAGAATTTTGATGGGCAATATTGAAGGGCAAAGAATTTGTACCTCCCCATCCAAAAAGTCTGAGATCAGAAGAGCTGATTGGAAATACAGAAATGCCTGAACCAGAAAGAACTCTACGCTACTGTGCCTTTAGATCATTTGCCTCTAGATCTTTTTTTAGTATTTTTCCCTTCTGAAGCCAATTTCTTCTGCAAATCAATTTTGATCAAGTAAACTACTATCTTTTCTCCCATTCCCATTCCCTGAGGGTATGTGTGCCTCTTAGGCTTTTTCTAGTTTACATATTTATTTACAATCTTCTCAACACATACACATGCACACTGTACACTCATATCAGATAGCAAGATTCCTGGCTGAAGATCTATCAATCTCCCGGGAGTCCGATATTGGAAAGATAAATAGACCAGGTTGCAGCCAAAACCACAATACTCATGGAGGCCCAGCGCCCAACAACTGATGGGGAGAGCTGTTCCTATATCTGACCTGCTGAGACAATTGGAATTGAGCTGACAATGTCCCTGACCGTGCCACTCCAGGGCATGTCTACCTATTACATAAGTTTTGCACTCCTTCCAACTGGAATAACTAAGAATGGATCTGGATTGCCTGAGTTACAAGCTGGAGATGAGAAGGAAATAATGCTGTTAGGACAGGGCTGTCAAATTCCTGGCCTGCGGGCCAGATGCATCACGCGCTGGCCATGCCTACACCCGATTTAGCAAAGGGGGGAAAGTCCCAATACGTCACGTGACACTGCCGTGATGACGTGAGTTAGATACCCCTGCGTTAGGATTATGCCCCACCAAAACAATCAGCCATCTTTGTGCTGCAGCTAGCAGGATGTGAGAACGAACCCACAAAATTATCTTGCAATTCCCCTGAGTTCTTGAGAAAGTTGCACTCTGGACATCAGGTGAAAAAAAACCTGATATGGATGCCGTGCTTTCTGACCTCACCCTCACCACCCACAGTCATGTTTAGTAGAAATAGCAGCTGGAAACCAAAGCAAAATGCAAATAAAGTATCACATTTCATGACCCCCTGAAGAGCATCAGATTTAGATCCCAAAAGGGCAACAGGCTACTGCCATTCCTACCCCTATTTTTGTTTAGTGTTCCCATCCTACTTAGGATCACCTCCCAACACCAGGTTACATATTTTAATCTCTTGTTGTTGAAACAAAACTATTTTTAAGGTCAGCTCGTTCTATCCTCTGCACATCTTGTTGCTTGTATCTACACCGAGAGCTTCTGCACCGGGGACAAATTCCTTGTGTGTGTCCAGTCACCCTTGGCCAATAAAGACTTTTATTCTATGCTATCCACTCAAAGCACAAGCTTTTTGAGAGTGCACAGACTGCACATAGGGAGTGAGAGCAGAGGGATTGCAAGACTCGACCTCAACCAGAAAATTTAACAAACAAATTTGGGAGGCTGCCTTGGCCATTGACTTCATATCCGGTCACATTTAGATGATATTGCTGCGATTTTCCATGTATTGCCCCTGTAAACCTAATCTTATTAAGACCTACTGTCTTATTTCCATTATCTTAATCATAACAGAAAGTATCCCTACAAACGGCTTCAAGAACAATATGTTTGTCCTGAAGCAGCAGAGACACTCCAGCCTTAAAAAAGATGATGATTAGTGGATATTCTGGTTAGATGCTCTGCAGCAGTTGTTCCTTCAAAAGAATACTCCTGACCGATGCAACTCTGTGGCCTTGTAGTTACCCCATCTAAATCTTTGAAGCAATTATAAATTGCAAAATCCTCTTTCCCTGTCATTTTGTCCCAACTTTACCAAGAGAAATATTTCTTTCAGTTGAATAAGGAAAGTACATAAAGTTCCTAACACCACTAACACTGGTGGGGCTTGAGTAACTCAACTTTGCTGAGTTTCTGTCTTCTGCCCACTCACCTGGCAGGTTCTTCCAGTGTCCACCTTTACCCGCATAGATGATTTCATTGTTACTGGCCTCTCCATTTGAGTTGTACTCAAAGGCGACACCTTTGTACTTCTTGGATCCTTTGCTGCACACAAATTTCTTGCAGCATTGACCGGGTACTTTAAGGAGCCGGGGACTGGAACAGCCTAGTGAAGCCAGAGGCAGTTCCAGTGGGCAAAGAGGCTGGCAACCCACCGCTCCATCAATGCAAGTGCATTGATGTTTGCAACTAGGCTGGAAGTTCTCTCCATTTTGGTAGATACGGCCGTTGTATTCGCAGGTCCGACCTTCTTGCTTTGCTGAGGAAGGGAAGAAAAAAGACGTTCCGATTTAGTTGGTGTGTGTTTAAGGGTGTAATCATATATAACATACACATTTATAAGAGAGGATCATGTCAGAAGTTACAAATTGCATGAATTACCAAGGTACTGTGTTGGGGCAAGCAATCACTAATCATGCCATCCATGATCCTTTTCTCCCCTAAGCCAGGTAATTTCTTATTAATCTATTTTCAAACAAACATATATAGGATCCTTTGAAATAGCTGCAGAAAGAAGTCTTAAATCATTCTGAACTTCAGCACAAAGATTTCCCAGCCTGCATCTAATTAGGATTTCACCTTCATAGACACCAGGGAGCACTGTTCACACAAACAGACCTGAAAAATAACCAAGGGGTACTGAGAACACTTCAAGGTCACATCCCACTGGTCTGCGCTAACATACAACTTCAGTTGAAACTGGGAGTGGTACCCGAAACCTCAGAGTTAGATTATGCAGAAGTGAAAACACAGCCAAGTCACTGGCTATCACCTTTAGAAGTCAGAGGAAAATATTTATCTGCAGAAATTTTAGGGGCCATGTCAACAAGAGGCGAGTGTTCTGAGCTTTAAATAGACATGTGAAAACAGGATGTGAAAAACACACACACAGCCTGGGATCAGGTTGCAGTGGGAAAGGGCTGGAGGCCTTCTGCTGGGGGGTCTGGTGAGAATTCTAGCATAAAAAGGAATGTAGTCTTTACCTTCTTGCTCTGCTACAAGTTGGCTTCTTTTTTTACTTGTCCTATATGTGCTTATAGGGTTTCTTTTATTTCCTGTATATTTGTCCACTGGGTGTAGGGAGCTATGGCTAGATCATCTGGAAGCCTCAGTTTTTAAAGCAAGTCTGATGCTCGTGTATGTACATCCTGGAAGTCTTATCTATGATAATAAAATAATCCATCTGCTCCACTTGCCAAGAAGCAAACCTCCTTCAGTTATGCAATCTGGTTTTCTACATGCATTCTTTCTACTTTCACTTCTGCATAGTTATTAAAAATGTCTCTTTTCTCAAATCTCTGGCTTTATATCACTGCCCCGATCTCTTTGTGTACTACTCTACTATTGAGCATAGAAGTTACTAGGTACTACAGAGTGATCTTATCTGCCAGTAATCTAAAGGAAGCTGGGATAAGACACAGTATTTTGGAAACTGACTGTTCGGTCCAAGCCCAGAGACAAGACACTGAGATCCAATCAAGTCCAATGCTAATGGACAGACTCTTGCCAAACTAAAGCTGTAACTTTCTAACCTCATAGATGTATCCTGAGAGATTCTGGGGTGTGATTATCCCGAACCACTTTTCCCTTTCCGCATCCAGCTCAGGACCGTGCAGTCTCTTAATCTGGGCTTCTTTCTGGGAAAGCTCTTTGTTGCCAAAACTCTCACACTGCTCCTCCAGGTGCACATTCCATCACACTCACACAAGTTATCTTCATTAGCACTGAATGATCTCCCTATTTCCAATAACTCAACATTTCTAAAAAGATATCACTGGGCATGGAGATCAGTCCAGCTCAGATTTATATGCCAAATAGCCTGGACAAACAGACCTGCCTTCTGTTAAACCATTGGTCCATCCAGCCAAATCTGTCTACACACATTGATGAGCAGTGGTGCTTTAAGCCTTCCACCAGTCGTCTAGCGTATTTGGAGATACTACCTCCAGTGACTTTTGGCTTGCAAAGATTGTGCCCAATCAAATCAGCCACAAAGCAATGAATGAAGGCATATTTCTAAGACAGATGAATTTGGAACCATTCCCTGCTATAATAAAATGCTGCTTCTTGTGAAACTGAGGGTAACTAATTCACTAGGTCAAGCATTTTTCAGTGCTTAATCACCTAGAAACTTCACTGGGGTGAACACTATATTAATCACTTAAAACTTCACTGCAATTTCTTAATTATTAACACAGGAGATTGCAATAGGACAAACATGCAGAAATCCCATTATAAAAGCTTACTCTATTGTTTTAAAGAACGACTTTTTTAAAAAAAAATCGCTAAAAATAACCCACGGATACTTCGCTCCAATTTCAGCGGTAGATTTTTAGACATACAAGTCCAGCCTGGAACTCCAACCTTCTGTCCTTCCGAGGGCCACTTCCAGACCCCTCTTTCCAGCATGGCACCGTCCCTGATCGCCGGGAATGGAGGGAGCTGTCACCCACCTCATCTAGAAGCAGCAGGTGAGGAACGGCTCCTCCAACTCCAGGCCAGGTTGCGTGCAAAGGCTTACTTACCCCAACAGATGCCCCGGGTCGCTAAGGGGTCGGCCCCAAAATTGCACTCCAGGCCTTTATGAGGATCGCAGGGCGACAGCTTGTCACAGTCCTCGTTGAGCTGGCGGGCGCACACCTGGCAGCAGCCACAGTCGTCGAAAACCGAGCTGACTCCGGGAGGGCAGCGAAGGGGAAGCGGCGCGCAGCGGCATGGGAAAGGGCAGCGGCGGCCCGCGACCTGCAAAAGAGCGAGAGCGGCCGGGAAAGGCAGTTCTTTCGGCAGGCCCGGGAGGAAGGCGTCCAGCGAACCAACTCCCAGCAGCCTCCAGGTTCAGAAGACCAGGAAACCCCCCTTCCTGCGCCTGGCTCTTTCGGGAGCGAACGCTTTCGCTTTTCCACCCCTTGCTCCCCACCTCCACCCCCACCCTCCTTTTCAAGGCGACACCGAGGTCGTTTCCTAGAGGGCGCTGCGTGCCGCGCAGTCCCGGCATTCTCTCTCCCCCCCACCCGCCACCCACCCTCCACCCACCCCGCCGGGATCTCCATCCCGTCGACCACGCGGGGATTACAGTTCTGGAAACAAATGAAAGCGCCCGGCCGCCGAGGCAGCGGAGGCCATGCGACCGGCAGCTCTGGGGATCGACGGAGGCGGAAAACGAAACTGCTTGCGCACCCTCGACGGGCTGCTGCTTATTCCCGATCTGGCCCCGGCGTGGAGCGGCCGGCTTTTAGGCAGGCGGTGAAGTTTGGCCCGATCCCCTTCTTGGGTGTTGTTTGTTACGGAACAAGTGCTCGGACGTCAAACGGTGTCGGGCTTCCTGCCTTGGACTAGAAAGACCTCCAAGGTCCCTTCCAAACTCTGCCCTTCTGGTATTCTGCCAAGCCGAATTTCGGTGGCCTGATGAAGCCGGAACACGAATGGAAGGACACCTAAACCCGTCACCTGGTCATGATCTGAGTCAAGTCAAATCCCCCGGCCGGGAAGGTCAGCATTTGGGGGCTAAGCAAGGTAGAAGCTGCTACTGGGGATTTAATGAGAATTTCCATCCTTCGGAGGTGGGTAAAAATGAGGAGCCAGATGGTTGTGCGGGGGGAGGCATATGCTGACTCTGTAAACCTCTTTAGAGAGGGCTGGAAAAGCACTGTGAAGCGGTGTACAAGTCTAAGCGCTATTGCTATTTGATCCAACCCCATTATGATTTTCGCTGTTTGACAGCTGGTCATTTTTTTCCCTGTCATATTGACAATAACGTCGCACCCTTCCCCCCCCCCCCAATTCACTTGTCGAAACAGAGGAGAAAGGGCTAGTCTAGCTAAGACTACTCACCTGAGAGAAACCCAGCAGGAAAGCTACGAGGGTCAGGGCAGCCGCTCTCATTCCTGATCGATGAGAAAAGGCGACCAGGAAGAGGGCGACTATTGCTGAAGGAGAGAAGCAAAAACACCCGGGGAAGCAAACTCCCAGCGAGACGGAATTGAGCGTTGAGGCTCTGCCTCTATAAGGTCTCAGGACCCTGGCACACCCCCTTTTCTGCTACTTCCAGTACCTACAAGTGCTATTCCCTTCTTTCTGTATTTATATTTTCCCCAGGCCCTCCCACCTACCGGGCGGAGGGCCAGTGGGAACCTCCTGTCAGCCAATAGCAACGGTGGCGCACTTCCAAACATTCCAGGGGTGGGACTTGGGAAAGGTAGGAGGGGCCGCATGAATAGAGTCATTCATAAAATTAGAAAGCCAGTGCATTCCGAGGCGATGTGCGTTTGGCCAAGATGTTCCGCTAGCAGAGAAGCACTTTCTATGCAAACTGTTGAATTAAGGTCCTTACTCTCATGGGGCACCTCGCTGTATAGGCAATCCAGTGTGAGGAGTAGCCACAAACATTCCTGGCGTGCAAAAAAAAAAAAAAATAGGCAGAAGGAAAACATCATGGAAGGAGAAAAAATAAACGGAAGGAGGCCAACGCTGCCTTTCGCAGAGCAAATCTCTGATCTGACTCTTAAGGTAGATTCAAAGGCTCTAGGAACCGGGAACATCAAATGCCTGAGATTACTAGGGAGAATCAGAATGCAATTATGCCCGTGAGATGTTCTGTGCAGTTTTCGGGAGAATGCACAAAGTGTCAGGTCAGGCTGAATTTATACCAATGAATCTGATTTAATCTTAAGTGCACATAGCACTGGAAAAAATGAGGGCTAGTACTGCAAAACACAGTTATGAAGAG